CTTTACCACCAACTAAAGCGAACAGAAAAATTGCTCCCACTGGAAATCGAACCCGAGACTTCTGCGTCTGTTAAAGGTTTCAGGCCCCCACTGGCGAGTGGAAGGGCGTTGTGGGCTGGGGACTCGTGTTGGCTTCCCTCTCTGTTTGGATCTACATGGCTATGAAGATTTTCGGTGAGTCGTTCGTTCGTTCGTTTCAGCCAAATGACGTCCACTGCTGGACAAAGGCCTCCCCCAAGGTTTTCCACAATGAACGGTCCTGCGCTGCCCGCATCCAGGCTCTTCCCGCAACCTTCACCAGATCGTCGGTCCACCTAGTAGGAGGCCTGCCCACGCTACGTCTTCCAGCCCGTGGTCTCCGCTCGAGAACTATCCTGCCCCAGCGGCCATCGCCATCAAAAGTCTTTGTGTTGCCAGTGATGGTATATGGATCTGAAACATGGTCGCTTACTACGGGCCTCATAAGAAGGCTTAAGGTCACCCAAAGGGCGATGGAGCGGGCTATGCTCGGAGTTTCCCTGCGTGATCGAATCAGAAATGAGGAGATCCGCAGGAGAACCAAAGTGACCGACATAGCTCGCAGAATTGCTAAAATCAAGTGGCAGTGGGCGGGGCACATAGCTCGTAGAGACGATGCATGGCCGTTTCGGTGAGTCATTATTATACAGGCTCTGTATCGATTTGGGAGACTTTAACCGAGTTCTATTCCTTCATCGGAGAATGGAAGGGCGTTGTAGGCTGGGAACTCGTGTTGGCTTCCCTCTCTGTTTGGATATACATGGCTATGAAGATATTCGGTGAGTTTAACATGTAGAATAGGGCTTCGTGTTGTTCTGGCAGACGTTATTAAGTTCCAAGCCTCCACTGGAGAATGGAAGGGCGTGGTGGGCTGGGGACTCGTGTTGGCTTCCCTCTCTGTTTGGATATACATGGCTATGAAGATTTTCGGTGAGTCGTTCGTTCGTTCGTTTCAGCCAAATGACATCCACTGCTGGACAAAGACCTCCCCCAAGGTTTTCCACAATGAACGGTCCTGCGCTGCCCGCTTCCAGGCTCTTCCCGCGACCTTCACCAGATCGTCGGTCCACCTAGTAGGAGGCCTGCCCACGCTACGTCATCCAGCCCGCGGTCATCAAAAGTCTTTGACCAGTGTATGTTGCCAGTGATGGTATATGGATCTGAAGTATAGCACGCTCCATCACTCTTTTGATAACTTCGATCCTTCTTAAAAGGCTAATAAGGTTCATAATAAGCATTTATTAATGATATTATGTATGTCCGTAAACATATACATTTATTTACTAAGAAAAGTGACGTCCACTCATTTAACACGAGACATAAGAATAAACTTGCTGTTCCATCATTTAGGTTGCATAAGATAGGTAATTCATTCTTGGGGAAATGTATTACCATATTTAACAAAATACCACACAACCTTGTCGAATTGCCAATAAACAAATTTGAAAGAAAGAAAGAAAAAATATTTATTTGGTACTAAAAGATACATATAAAAAATACCCTTATGTCCTCGTACTACAAGGTTCGAGACTATATTGATGACAAGGATGCGTGGTCAGTTCAGTCTGCACATATTTGATGTACTTAAATTTGACTATTCTTACCGTTAGATAATTCCTGGCAATAAGTGGTGACTGAGTTTGTTCCGGCGTTTCTTCTCAGCACTTGCCATATGTTTGTCTCGAAGCGCTGGTAGGGCCCAAAAGATAAGGAGACATGTAAAGTGCGCCATAAGGGCTACCTTTTCTTTTTTTTATTATTTTCTATTGACGTTCATAAGTGCCACTTGTGGTCTAAACTGAATACATATTTTTGATTTGATATTATTGTCTCGTTACAGTATACAGCCCAATTCCCGAGTCGCTGAGCGAAGAGAACCAGAAAGCACAGCTGAGGCGCATGCTCGACCTCAAGGTCAACCCCGTGGACGGACTCGCCTCCAAGTGGGACTACGAGAACAACCGCTGGAAGTAAAGGTCAGTGCCGTGTGGTGGACGAGGGAACCAGGAGTAGGGTTGCCAGGTCGAAAATCACAAAAGCCGAACTTTGTGCTTCATTTGGCCGGACATTTAACCCTAAAAGCCGGACATGTGACAATTAGTGTCAGCTCATGAGTGAGTACTATCATCATGGTTGCTATCCAACATCCTGATGCGTGCGCTTCATATGATTCTGTGGCTCGACTTTCTCCTGGCGCGGCAACCAAATAAAAAGCCGGACAGGCCGGACAAGGCAATATTTGGCCGGACGAGTCCCTAAAAAGCCAAACTGGCAACCCTAACCAGGAGGCGCGTGCTCGACCTCAATGGACGGCTCGCCTGCAAGTGGGACTACGGGAACAACCGCTGGAAGTAAAGGTCAGTGGCGTGTGGTCTTACCGACCGGAGGGCTTAGTGTGAGTTTACATCAAACGTCTTCACTATTCTTGATCTTGAAGATCTTGGCCTGTACCTCACCTGATGGTAAGTGACGATCAGGCCGAAGGTGGAAGCTCGCTTCCCGGAATCCTCAACCACAGAGGAACTGGCTATCTTACCTGTAACTGCCGGAACACAACAATGCTATTAACATTGTTGTTATGGCACCAGACTTAGGTAAGACGGTGGTGGCTAGCCAGGCGGACTTAGAACAAGCCCTACTACTACCGAACAGAAAAATCTGCCCTCACTGGGAATCGAACCCGGAACCTCTGCGTCTGAAGCAGGTGGTCTTACAGGTGGTATGTACTCGTACAGGTGTCATTAAATGTACGAAGAAAGGTCCTGAAAGCTTACAAACAAAGACTTAAGCGTCATGAAAATGTACTTGCTTCATTCCTTCTAAATTCTCAGAACTCATTCAGGCTCAGGAGAAAGCGAATAGCATCAATACTTCATTGACTATCGCACAAGTAAAGTTCACTCGCCTTCGTGAGTTGCAAGAACTATAGTATTAATAATGTTGATTGTTGTAATACTTATTTCATAAAACATTGATTTTATATAAAAAATATTTGTCCACAGGTTTTGGCAATATGGTGCTATACCTGTGGCGGCGGCTTGCTTTCTCCGGGTATTAGAGTAGACAATGTAATATAAGCGAAGTATCTATGTAAGATAATCAATACAATTGTGATTCCAACTGGATGTTTTTTTATTTCGATGGCGGTGAGTGGAGATTGCTTTTCCTATTTGACTGAAATTAGTTTTGGATGTAGTTTAGTGATTGGTGTTGGGAAATTATTATTGGTGGTCGGAATGTATGTAGTTATTTGTACATAAAATTGTTTCAATCAATAAATATTACTAGGGATTGTTAGCGCCATCTGGGGGTAAGTAAATTAATCATTTGTAGGGCGCCACCTAGTGGTAAGTTAATTAAACACTTGTGGTAGCGCCACCTAGGGGTAAGTAAATGAAACGTGTTGTGGCAGCACCTGGTGGTGGAAGTAAACTAAACGTTTGTGGTGGCGCCACCTATTTGTAGGTAAATGAAACGTGGTGACACCACTTAGGCCCAGTTTTTTGATTCTTAGTTAAAATAACTAATTGTTAAATTTTGCTACTAATGGTTAAATATTAACAACATGTAAACTAATAGTTAAAAAATGTACTAAAAGTCACGCTAATCATGGTTCGAAAAGCATTTTTTTCTGATATTTAACCACTTGTCATTTGACATCTGTCAAATTTGACCATTGGTTATTTTAACTACGAATCAAAAAACCGGGCCTTAGTGGTAAACTAGTATTATATTATCTGTGGTGGTAAGTAAATTAAACGTGGATTTAAACTAAACTTTTATGCTAGCGCCATCTAGTGGTGAGTAAATGTAACGTTTATGGTGGCCACTGGTAGGAAGTAACTAACCAAACTTTGCGCTTACGATAGCGCCATCTGGCGGGGAGTAGACTAAACTTATAGGAGAGCCAATTTGAAGGCTTGCGGTAACGCCACTTGGCGGGGAGTAGACTAAACATCTGATACAGCAACCTCTAAATATTTGCGTTGGCGCCACCTGGCGGGGAGTAGACTAAACATCTGATACAGCAACCTCTAAATATTTGCGTTGGCGCCACCTGGCGGGGAGTAGACTAAACTTCTGATACAGCAACCTCTAAATATTTGCGTTGGCGCCACCTGGCGGGGAGTAGACTAAACTTCTGATACAGCAACCTCTAAATATTTGCGTTGGCGCCACCTGGCGGGGAGTAGACTAAACTTCTGATACAGCAACCTCTAAATATTTGCGTTGGCGCCACCTGGCGGGGAGTAGACTAAACTTCTGATACAGCAACCTCTAAATATTTGCGTTGGCGCCACCTGGCGGGGAGTAGACTAAACTTCTGATACAGCAACCTCTAAATATTTGCGTTGGCGCCACCTGGCGGGGAGTAGACTAAACTTCTGATACAGCAACCTCTAAATATTTGCGTTGGCGCCACCTGGCGGGGAGTAGACTAAACTTCTGATACAGCAACCTCTAAATATTTGCGTTGGCGCCACCTGGCGGGGAGTAGACTAAACTTCTGATACAGCAACCTCTAAATATTTGCGTTGGCGCCACCTGGCGGGGAGTAGACTAAACTTCTGATACAGCAACCTCTAAATATTTGCGTTGGCGCCACCTGGCGGGGAGTAGACTAAACTTCTGTCATACAGCCACCTCCAAACATTTGCTGTAGCGCCACCTGGTGGGGAGTAGACTAAACTTTTGCGATAGCGCCACCTGGCGGTGAGTAGACTAAACTTTTGCGATTGCGCTACCTAGTGGGGAGTAGACTAAACTTCTGCGATAGCGCCATCTGGTGAGGAGTAGACTAAACTTGCGATAGCGCCACCTGGTGGGGAGTGGACTAAACTTTGACGATAGCGCCACCTGCTGGGCACCAAACATGGTCGGGCCAAGCCCAAACATTTTTGACACTAGTCAGCGTCAAAAATGTTTGGGTTATGTAAAAAATTTAAACAACAATGGGAACAACTTTTTATTTTTGTTATAAAAACAACATTCCATCATAAATAAACGTTTTCCACTGAGCGCGTCTTAAACACAATATTATCGTGAACATAGCATACCTAGAGATGGGTTTGTAGCCAGCTAGTTTGGATAATAACTGATTATTATCTATTAATAGCCATTATTAGCCATCCATTGGCTATTAACCCTGCTATTAATAGTTTCTTACGTTTTTTCTTCCACCTTTAAAATCAAATCAATATTAAAATCAAATATTACTCAAAGAAACAAAAAAGAACTAAAAAACATCAATGTAATTTATATAAACGACATTGTAGTTAAAAAAGAATCTAAATATTATACAATAAAAGGAGAAACTGACTGACTTAGTGACAGATCAACACACAGCCTAAACGGCTAAACGTAGGCACTTGAAATTTGGAAGGGACGTAGCTTAAATACCGTAGAGGTGCACTAAGAAAGGAATTACCAAAATTCCCAAGGGAACGGGAATTAGCGGGAAATACCTTTTGTATGAAAAATCTAAACCGCTTAAGTCAGACGCTTGAAATTTGGCATGTAGGTACATTAGTAAACTCAAAGCTTAGTTGCAACAAGGAATTCCCGAAATTCCCACGGTATTGGGAATTAGCTGGAAAATCCTTTTGTATGAAAAAAGTAAACCGCTTAAGTTACACGCTTGAAATTTGGCATGTAGATACCTTAGTAAACTGAAAGCTTAGTTACAACAAGGAATTCCCGAAATTCCCACGGGAACGGGAATTAGCGGGAAAATCCTTTTGTATGAAAAATCTAAACCGCTTAAGTTAGACGCTTGAAATTTGGCATGCAGGTACCTTAGTAAACTTAAAGCTTAATTACAACAGAATATTGCAAAATTCCAACGGGAACGGGAATCAGCGGATAAAAAAAAATATATGAAAAAATCTAAACCGCGTAAGATAGACGCTTGAAATTTGGCATGTAGGTACCTTAGTAAACTGAAAGCTTAGTTTCAACAAGGAATTCCCAAAATTCCCACGGGAACGGGAATTATCGGGAAAATCCTTTTGTATGAAAAATCTAAACCGCCTAAGTTAGACGCTTGAAATTTGGCATGCAGGTACCTTAGTAAACTTAAAGCTTAGTTACAACAGGATATTGCAAAATTCCCACGGAACGGGAGTTAGCGGGAAAAAACATTTGTATGAAAAAATCTAAACCGCGTAAGATAGATGAAGGGGGTAAAACGGGATCCACGCGTACGAAGTCGCGGGCGGCCGCTAGTGCTTAATAACAGGCGATACTAAAAAAATACGTAAAATACCCAGAAAATGTCAATAAATAATAAAAACTCAGATATTTTTTGACTTTTTTTATCGATAAAAATAGGTTTAGTAGTTCCGCCTATTTTCATATATGCACTTTCTCAAGACTCATACTGTACTAGCGGCCGCCCGCGACTTCGTACGCGTGGATCCCGTTTTACCCCCTTCATCTATCTTACGCGGTTTAGATTTTTTCATACAAATGTTTTTTCCCGCTAACTCCCGTTCCGTGGGAATTTTGCAATATCCTGTTGTAACTAAGCTTTAAGTTTACTAAGGTACCTGCATGCCAAATTTCAAGCGTCTAACTTAGGCGGTTTAGATTTTTCATACAAAAGGATTTTCCCGATAATTCCCGTTCCCGTGGGAATTTTGGGAATTCCTTGTTGAAACTAAGCTTTCAGTTTACTAAGGTACCTACATGCCAAATTTCAAGCGTCTATCTTACGCGGTTTAGATTTTTTCATATATTTTTTTTTATCCGCTGATTCCCGTTCCCGTTGGAATTTTGCAATATTCTGTTGTAATTAAGCTTTAAGTTTACTAAGGTACCTGCATGCCACATTTCAAGCGTCTAACTTAAGCGGTTTAGATTTTTCATACCAAAGGATTTTCCCGCTAATTCCCATTCCCGTAGGAATTTCGGGAATTCCTTTCTTAGTGCACCTCTACGGTACCTAAGCTACGTCCCTTCCAAATTTCAAGTGCATATGTTTAGCCGTTTAGGCTGTGCGTTGATATGTCACTAAGTCAGTCAGTTTCTCCTTTTATATATTTAGACTAGCGGCCGCCCGCGATTTCGTACGCGTGGATCCCGTTTTAGCCCCTACATCTATCTTACGCGGTTTAGATTTTTTCATACAAATGTTTTTTCCCGCTAACTCCCGTTCCCGTGGGAATTTTGCAATATCCTCTTGTAACTAAGCTTTGAGTTTACTAAGGTACCTGCATGCCAAATTTCAAGCGTCTATCTTACGTAGTTTAGATTTTTTTATACAAGTGTTTTTTCCCGCTAACTCCCGTTCCCATGGGAATTTTGCAATATCCTCTTGTAACTTAGCTTTGACTTTACTAAGGTACCTGCATGCCAAATTTCAAGCGTCTATCTTACGTGGTTTAGATTTTTTCATACAAATGTTTTTTTCCCGCTAACTCCCGTTTCCGTGGGAATTTTGCAATATCCTCTTGTAACTAAGCTTTAAGTTTACTAAGGTACCTGCATGCCAAATTTCAAGCGTCTAACTTAAGCGGTTTAGATTTTTCATACAAAAGGATTTTCCCGCTAATTCCCGTGCCCGTTGGAATTTCGGGTATTCCTTTCTTAATGCACCTCTACGGTACCTAAGCTACGTCCCTTCCAAATTTCAAGTGCTAAATTTGTAAACTATGAAGGGATATGTTTAATCATTAGTATAACATTAATAGCAGGGTTACCATCTGAAATCGGCTATTATTGGCTATTTATGGCTAATAACTGCTTTTAATCCGTTACTAGCCAATTGCTATTAATCGGATTATTAGCACTTACCCATCTCTAAGCATACCCGCTATTTACTTTACACTTACAAATCTATTTATATTATATCATGTAATACACACTTTAGATTTTGAATAAATTCAACATGAATAAACTACGTGCATTCATTTAATACATTATTCTTTTATTAGATAAAGCTACAAGTTTCCCACAGATGATTTATTTTTAGTTTTTATTTCATTAGTATTTATTTTATTATTCATTTAGAAAACTTGTAACTTTATATTTTTAATCTTGTCCAATTCTTTATATTTGCCAAAAACTGCTTTCACTCTTTTTATAATTGTACTTTTCTAAATTATTCTTGAGACAAGTATAACCTATCTAAAAAGATACCGTTGGATCACTATTTTTATTTTTATACTCTCAAACAATTTTGTATACATTTTTGGCAAATATAAAAACGGTGTATACAATTTATAATGCACATTAATTACAAAAATACTGACAGACAATGCAGGAATAACCTACATCCATTAATATAATCCAATCGTTTCATTCAACACAGTTAAATTGTTAATTTACTAAGTAAATGATATTGAAATTAAAACACTATCACAATTTTATATTTAAGTCTCAATATTGATCGAATGTCATGACTTTTCCGACATTTAAAAAATAATTTAAACGCACAGATTTAAGTTTATTATTACATTCATATTTTATGAGAAGAAAATCGCGAAATCATAAAATAACTCTAAAATAGAAATAAGAGTAAAACACAAAAAATAAATCATCGTAGAGTAATACTTTAGTAATTAAGTCTTTGGGACAATAGCAGAGAACCATTGTCTGAATAAGTAAAGATGTACAGTTTTAGAAATAGAGAAGTTACTATAAAATAGTAAAGAAAAAGCAACATCAGGGTAGGCATAGGTTCACAGCATTATTTAAAAAAAATGTATTGCACGACTAAAATGACTAGAAGTCTGACTAGTGTATTTTTACTATTTTTAGTAAAAATTACGACTCGAAAAATGTATATGTTACAGGAAATGTATGAAATCCGTCATTGTATACAATTCCTAGGAATTGTGTATAAGTCCTAAAATCACCCGGAAATGTGTGATGTAAATTATATTAGACACATTTCCTAGGAAAATTACACATTTCCTAAACAGCAATCGGAAATGTAATTATATAATTTTTTTTACACAAAATTATTTTTATTACGCCAAATTTTGCTCTCCGAAACTTAAATTACCGCGCTGCGGCAGCTGTGTATGTGTAAGGTCGCAAGTCTAACCTAACCTAACCGAGACTTTGTTATCCAGCTACAGGAGTACTAAAACCTTCATGCCAATAATAGTTTAATAAAAGAGATTTTAAATTTAGGGATTTCCAATACTTCAGCGTTAATATGCGTGATGCCGAAAGAAAGGTACCTATGCCAAATAAATTTTAGGCAAATATTTTTTTCGGCCAAAGTATAATAGTGCGAAAACAACTGTCAGGCTAAACAATAATAATTTTGAGTTAAAAGTACCTATCGGCCAATGTGGTTTGGCTAAATCAAATTTTAGGCGTACCGAGGGGCACACGATCATGCGACCGTGCTTGTGCCGCTTAGTTTTATACATTTCCTAATACAATATTGGAATTCTATAAAATTCCTAGGAAAAGTATACATTTCCTAGGATATGTGCGTATAAAAAAATCTCTGAAGCAATGTTTTATACTTTTCCTAAATGGCTTCGGAATTGTATACATTTCCTAGGAATAGTATACAATTCCTAGAATTCATACATTTCCTGTAACATATACAATAACTAAATTGTATACATCTTGGTTTATTAGTAGTCTTTATTTATTTACGTACTGTTGACCCATAAAAGAACTAGCACTAAACTAAATATTTTAATAAATTAATGGAATAATGAAGTAGTTCGCTTACAGATTCTGGTAAGCAGAAATCGAATCTAAATTATAGTACTTAAAGTTTTAAATTACACGTGAATTAGGCATTCTCCTTTCAACTTCACTGGTCAATGTAATTAGTAACACCTATTAAGAGATAAATGAATTTCTCAAAGTTTCTAATTTCTAGTTTTCTTTTAGATGTTAAATAGAGAGTTGGAATAAAAAAATAAGCCACAGTGTAGTAAATATTAGTAGGATCTTTTCCACTTTATTACTGGGGTTACTACTATTTTTACTGTGGCACAACTAAGGGATATACGATCTAAGTTAAAGCTACCGTTCATAGAGATAACATTAAAAGCGACATAGAAATATACAGATAAAGACGTGATACATTAAGCACTAAAATATAGACTTTCCCTTATAATAATCATAAGAAAATTGTCTGGAGTTATAAACTCCTTGTTTAGACCACAGAAGGAGAACAATGTTTCAATGTCAATATTTATCACGAAGAAACAATATTAGCAGTTTTTTTTGCTGAACGAATTTATGCCACTTATTAAATAGCAGATCGATTGGTATGTATCAAATCAACATTTTTAGAAGTAAATGAACAATAAAATTACATGTATACATTAGTGTTTCCTATGTATACAGGATTTTTACACATTTTAAAATAACTGTCCTTATAGTCGTATATGTAGGTACCACGTACCGTCTTGTTATTGTTGTCCCACTATGGTCTAATCGTATTAAAACATAAACACATAACTTCAATACATAAATATTATCGGTAATTTTACATGATATTATTCCGACTAAAGATGTAGTTAGGCTTATTTTTTAAATAACCTGTATTATCTAAATTTTACGCACCATTATGACGTTAAATTATAAAACCATGTTTTAAAAATTACGCACTTTAACTACTAATCCCATTTATATCATAGAATAAAATACAAATTAATCTGCTATATTTAAAAGTCGGTTCATCCTAATATTACATGAACCACTTTCCGGTGAATTTTTAGAATGTCAAAACATGATTTTATAAGATTAATAATAAATTCTACAATTCTTTTAAAAATGGTTTTAAAACTAAATAATTTCTTCTTTACTCAAGTAACTAAACAAACAGATTTATTGTTGTGGATTTTATTTACTTAGTTCCAATAGATATGGTAAGTTTCACCATTTGCTATTATCATAGACTTTCTAGAAAATATTGTAGTCAATGTGACTATTATTTATTTAGAATCTCATCATTTTATTAGTTCCAAACTACACCAATTAAAATATTTACTATGTACTTATCGATTGGAACTACATAATATCCACGCATAAGCACAAATTTCAAACACAAAAAGATACAAATTATAAAATGTATACAACTTTTTGACGAAAAAAATATGTATACAAATTTTATAAATGTATAGGTACTAAACTTTTTACCTGACACGCATAATCAATGGAAGTCTATCTTTGGCTCAAATCTTTCTACTAGCTATTTCACAATACAACACGGAACACCAGGTCTTGGTCATTATAAAATACTCTCTAGTTGGAACTTCTTTCAAAAAGTCTAATTCATCATTATCTTTTTCTCGTTAAGGCAGTCAGATGTTAGCTTCCTCTATTTTTTTACAATTTTGAGACAAAAATTAACAGATTGGATTTTTGAGATAGGATAAAAAGTTCGGGTACAATCGCCAGCACATTACAATCAAGGTCAAAGCACACTTATCAACCTGGAAAGGGTATCTCCTTTCGCTGCGCTGTCAAGGCGTTTACGTCACGGTGCGGATAAGTGTTCCTTGCAAATAATACTGACCACCTGTTGATACGGTTACGATCCGTTTCCGAGTTGATAAGTTTGCTTCATCCTTCACTTAGATGCTACAATGCCAAGTTCTTATTGTGACATTTTTATTTTAATGAGCTAAGGTCACATGTCCACTTTTAAAAATGTTAATGGGTATAGTCTGGACTGCGAGCACGTAGAATTTTGTCCAATGACCCCAAGCTACCCATCCTTATCGCTCGCGCGTAATTATGTTGCTGTCGCGACTGTGTGACGGGCGCCCGCAGTGAGTGTGTGAGCGCGACAACAACATAATTACGCGCGAGCGATAAGGATGGGTAGCTTGGGGTCATTGGACAAAATTCTACGTGCTCACAGACCGCGCTTTAGATTGGCCCGGACCAGTTTAGAAAGAACGTACGTATTTGACAACGAGAAAAATGAAGCTGAGAATTCAGACCCTGCTACTGTTCCGCAGAACTTCGACTTGGAACTCGGCCCCGTAGAGGAACTAAGCACATTCAGTCGGCACCTCGAACTTGGAACTCGGCCTTCGGAACTCAGGCTCTAGAATACGGAACCTGAAACTCAGTTCTGGAACTCGGAACATTGGCCAGGAACCTTGGGTCACGGAACTCGGCCTCGGAACTCGCACTGTGTTACTTCAGTTCCGTCTGTTTAGTGCCGTGGAACCAGTCTCTGAACTTTGGAATCCGAACAGAGGTCTTGAATTCTCACACCTTGGAATGGTAAAGAACATTATCCTTTGCATTACTTAAGTAAGAATCTACTCATGAACATTTTAAAAAGTTGACAATTGTCCCGCAGACCAGTTTCTGCGTGAGCGAGATGTTAACCCGTTTTAACAATAACTGCTTTTCTTTTTACTGCCCCATCTCACAAATACTCTACGAGTCCTAAATATGTATATGGAGCTTTTTACTCATCAATTTTACAAGTTGCTTCGTTTATAGAATGGTCAAGTTTGAGCGCTCCAAGTTGTCTGAGCATTTCATTTAGGCGGACGATATATTGAAACACAGAATCAACATAGACCTCATCTTGATTGGATTGGAATTACTTGACAAATGCAACAAACGCTTGGTAAACTTTTAGTAAGTAGGGACATCAGTCATATGACACATCAAGTGTAGGTAAAAGTGGGTAGGAATTAGGAGTATACAGGATTTAGCGTTTAGGATAGCGTTTCATTTGATTCTTTTTTGATCAATTAACAAAAGAGGTAACCCTATCCAAGAAAGTGACATCCTAGCGGTAAACACTGGAGCTATGATAGCCTGCAGTCTGAGCCACATTCTGGGTCGAGACAGGCAGCCATGATCCAAGTGACATCTGGAAGATTTTCAGTCCCAATTGTCTAACGTTCGTCAAGTCTAACGGTTTTCACGAGATCGAATGAGGCTATAGATCGTTTCATCCAAGAAGACGCGCCCCACAATTCTTCCACTAATGTTTGAGTGTTATCGGTACACGCTAAATTATCCATGAGTGCACACGCACACTACAATAATGACGCTCAGATTGCTCGGATCAAATTCCCCGCACCCGCTTCCCTCGACAAAATTCGGCGCGTCTTCGTGGATGAAACGACTATACCTTGATCCAAGTGACTCGAAGATTTTCAGTCCCAATTGTATAACGTTTGTCGAGTCCAACAGTTCCTAAGATATTCAAGGGATGCTCTAACAGGGACAGGCCCCCTGCTAGTCGCGGAAGGGGAACAAGCCTCCTACGCCGGCCGCGTCCCAGTCGGCCACCTCGACCGGCCCGAAGCACTCGTCGAAGAACTGCTCCATGGCTTTATGCAGGTGCAGCGAAGAGCGCTCGAAGGAGTGCCCTTCGTCTGGGTACACCTGGAAATTTAAGCAAGCATTTTAGATTTGGGTACACCTGGAAGTTGATGGATGCTTATTTAGTTAGGATGTTGGCATAGATAATCGACAGTCGTTTGCAATACGTCAGGAAGAGATGAATAAAGGTCTTATTGTAAAACGAATTTGACAACATTCGTTTCTTACGCGTCTTGGGTGATTGCAGGTGTTACAAGGAAACCAAAGGGTATGTCGTGCCAAGTTATGATCATCACAGGTCGTCTGATCAAAGATCGAGCTAGCGATAGCGTATTACTGCGCCGTCACATAATAATATGACATACTGGCAGCACAGACTCCTATAGGGCAACCGCGAGGTGAGTGTATATTGCTCCGACTTATCAAGGACCTCGCTAGAGCATGATGCGGCGGCGCCGTAAGAACCGCAGAGGCGAGCAACAGTCACTCCTAACACTTACCTGGCGTGTGTACACAGCTCCGGCTCCCTAATCATGGCTCTTGCTAATAACAGCGCATGGTGCGGCGGCGCCGTAAGGTCAGCAGTCGCGTGCGCAAGTAGCAGGCGGCGCGGGGGCCGGTTACTAACACCATCCCATCTACTAGAAGGCAAGCTACTCCGTACCTGATGAGTGTACATAGCGCCTTGCCTAATCAAGGCTCTCGCCAACGTAAGAGCGTGGTGTAGTGGAGCCATGAGATCCGCAGACACGTGCGCAAGCAAGCAGCAGACACTCCTAGACATGCTAATAATATTGTCATCTGGTGACCCACCTGATGAGTATAAACAGCTTCCTGCTTTATCAAAGCTCTCGCCAACACTAACGCGTGGTGCGGCGGCGCCGTAAGGTCTGCAGTCGCATGCGCAAGCAGTAGAAACTTCTAGAAGGCAAGTTACTATCTCGTACCTGATGAGTATAAACTGCTCCCTGTCTTATCAAGGCTCTCGCTAACGCTAGAGCGTGGTGCGGCGGCGCCGTCAGATCAGCAGTCGCGTGCGCAAGTAACAGGCGGCGCTGATGCTGAGAGCAGCCACCCATGACCCGTAGCCGCTGTAGCTTCATCCAGTGCGACTTACCCGAATGCCCGATCAAGTGTGGAGCGGCGGCGTAGTAACGTCGACGGCGGCGTGCGTAAACAGCAGACACTCCTAAGCTAAACGGCACGCTTATATGTATACTGCCATTTGGTGATTGGTGACCTACCTGGTGAGTATACACAGCTCCCTGTCTTATCAAGGCTCTCGCTAACGCTAGAGCGTGGTGCGGCGGCGCCGTCAGGTCTTTAGTCGCGTGCGCAAGTAGCAGGCGGCGCGGGGGCCGGTTACTAACACCATCCCATCTACTAGAAGGCAAGCTACTCCGTACCTGATGAGTGTACATAGCGCCTTGCCTAATCAAGGCTCTCGCCAACGTAAGAGCGTGGTGTGGCGGAGCCATGAGATCCGCAGACACGTGCGCAAGCAAGCAGCAGACACTCCTAGACATGCTAATAATATTGTCATCTGGTGACCCACCTGATGAGTATACACAGCGCCTTGTCTAATCAAGGCCCTTGCTAATGCTAGAGCATGGTGTGGCGGCGCAGAAAGGTCCGCAGTCGCGTGCGCAAGCAGCAGACACTCTTAGAAGACACGCTAATAACACTATCATCTGGTGACTCACCTGATGAGTATACACAGCTCCCTGCCTTATCAGAGCCCTTGCTAAAGCTAGAGCATGGTGTGGCGGCGCCGTCAGGTCTGCAGTCGCGTGCGCAAGTAGCAGGCGGCGCGGGGGCAGTTTGTTAAAACCATCCTGATGAGTGTACACAGCTCCCAGTGCCATGGAATTATGAAGCTGGCAGCTGGCTGGCAGCATAGTCTAAAGCCCGGTCTGTGAGCACGTAGAATTTCGTCCAATGACTCCAAGCTACCCATCCTTATCGCTACCGCGTAATTATATTGCGCGTAATTAAATTCTACGTGCTCACAGACCAGACTATACTAGAGGACAAGCTAGTATGTACCTGATGAGTATACACAGCTCCCTGCCTTATCAGAGCCCTTGCTAAAGCTAGAGCATGGTGCGGAGGCGCCGTCAGGTCCGCAGTCGCGTGCGCAAGTAACAGTCGGCGCGGGGGCAGGTTGCCGGCGCGGCGCCACACCGCGCTGACTCCCAGCGCCCCCGCCCACGACCCGTAGCCGCTGTAGCGCTCCGTCCAGTACGAATCTGGGGACGAAATTAACATTTATAAAAAAAACTGTACCAAACTCATCGTCTAGATCAGCAGGTGACCCCAAAGTTACATTTCGAATTGAATACATATTCAAAGTAAAATATCGATCGTTTTGGGGACTACAGTCCCTAGTTATGAGCATCGAAGGCTCAAGATTACCCAAAGGGCGATAGAGCAAACTATGCTTATTTTCTTACGTAAATTGCGTGATCTTATTCTCAGCACTTGCCAAATGCCAAATGTTGGTCTCGAAGTGCTAAAAAACCGGTGGTGACAAAAGTTCCCAGAAATTTTTGGTAGGTAGGTATATAAGTAATGACCCATGGGGAGTTTTGTCACCAAGATTTTTTGTCTGTGTTTATAGGTCAATTCTGTGGGTCAATTTGGGCATGTTCCTTTACATGTATGGAGATTTGCAATTTTTGACATCAACGTTGATAAATTTAGCGTTAAGTATCTGTGATATTTTTTTAATCTGTAAGCGTTTCGTGAGCGATGTGAAATAAATAATAAATATTGAAATGGAACACTCTCAGCATAGAGAAAAAGTAATACATAGGAAATAGAGAACCCTCTCTGTCAAATTTTTGAGCCTACTAATTGACAGCCTGGTGTTAAATTCGCTGTACTTAACCTACGTACGTAACGCTCACATACACACATAGTACACGCACACATACATACATAAAGTCCACGCACACATACACACAGTTCACGCACACATAGGCCCTCATAATCTTCAAAGAATTATTGTTTTTTTGATGTACAATGTAGAATTTTTTCAAATCCATTATTTTGAAAGTATTTATCTTTATGGTGTACGTATTGTATTATTTTCAAAACAATGGATTTGGAAAAATTCTACATTGCACATGGAAATGCAAATAAACAAAAACTTTTCAATTTAATAATTTTACTTTATTTATGAACACACATAATATTATACACCAAAAGCGTCTTTTCGCAAAGTTTTCAACAACACTAAAAAAGCATTTGCACTTTTGAGAAAACTCAGATCACTTGTTAACATAACAGAAAGTTTCTTCGCGATTCACGAAGGAACGAACAAAACTCCGATGAACCAGAACAGCAGCAGGTACGAAGGAATGAACTTGAATTTGACTCGACTCTTCAATACTTTAATAGGGCCACAGAACTCATAAACGATGGCTAAGAAAACAAGAATGCATTCAACCTAACAAAAACAACACCGGCCATTTTGGAGGAAAAACAAAGTTGCCATATGTTAAATAGTAATTTCTACTACTCTATTAAGTAAATTATAACAAAAAATGTCACCGTTCAGTTTTAAATTAAAACAAATTAATTTCATTTTAAAAAAAGTTTTCACATTGTAATTAACAATATTCTGAAATATATTTTAATTAAGAAAAAAATGAAAATATGAAGGAAACAGGAGCAGCGACATGCGTTTTAGGGTAGTTAAAAAGTATTGCTTCCTCATTGTTTGTTATAGCATTGCTGCAAAATCTGAAAAGCTTTTAAATATTTTAAGATGTGTTTCTGGAGTCTGGTGGGGTGCTCACCCAGCGTCATTAAGACTTTTATACAATGCTATTATAAGAAGTGTACTTGACTATGGCAGTTTCTATCTAGAGCCTTGTAATTTAGTTGGTTTAAGTAAATTGGATGCGATTCAATCTAAAGCGCTAAGGATTATAGCTGGTGCTATGAAATCGAGTCCAATTAATGCCTTGCAAGCTGAATGTGTTGAGCCCCCAGTGAAATTACGCCGCCAATATTTATGTGACAAGTATCTTTTCCGTGTACTTCAATTTGCTGACCATCATAAATATAGCAAACTCAACAGACTTAATGATTTAATTGATACTTCCTCTTATTGGTCACGTAAATCTCCTCCTTGTGTGATTATTAGTTTTCGTAAATTTATATCAATCCAAGCCCCAGTCTACAGAACCTCCTTTCTTCCGATCATCATCAACAGCCCTTTACAGTCCACTGCTGGACTATGAGCCTCCTCCACTATGGTGGAGGGATTTGCCATAATCTCCACGCTTGGCAGGCGGGTTGGAGATCGCAGTTTAAAAGATTGATGTTTTTCAGAGAGCGCTGCTGCCCATTCTCTGTTTGTTGTGTAGTCCCTAAGTCGCCTCTTACGACACCCGCGGGAAGAGTAGGGGTTGGTGACAAATGTATTCTACTCTGCCGTCACCACACGGCGATTCTTCCGATATTTTCTGTTGAATCCCTTATTCTTACTCCGACAATTCATTTCAACCTAGACATACATAAGGATGACTACAATGCTAACATTAAGTTCAATCAGATCGTAGACGAACACTGGGGCGATTGGCATCATATCTATTGCGATGCATCTAAGCACTCTCCAACGGGTCATGTTGGCGTTGGCGCATACCATAAACAATATCATATTGTCCAGAAAATAAAACTCCCTCCAGAATCATCAGTCTTTACAGGAGAATGTTTTGGACTGTTTAAGGCTTTAGAGTATGCTCTCCTTATGAAATTAAACAAAACTGTAAATTTTGTGACTCTAAAAGTGCTTTGCAGGCATTACATAAATTTCCATTTAAGAACAATACTAATTATCCTATTATTACAGAATGCAGGAAATTACTTCACAAATGTAGTCTTAACAGTCATTTAATTAATTTTGCGTGGATTCCTAGTCATACCAATATTCCAGGAAATGATAAAGCTGATAAGCTGGCCAATGAAGCGGTTGAGTGTGGAGATATACATCCGTACACAAATTATTGCCATGACTTAACGGCAGCCCTTCCCAAAGCTTATCTCAAATCTGCCTGGGATGAGAATTGGGAGTTCACTAGCCAATCTAAGGGGAAACATTACAAGCTCATTCAACCATCCATCCTTTGTAAACCATGGTTTGTTAAAATGAATCTTTCCAAAACAGTTACTACCATTTTAACTAGAATGCGACTTGGTCACGTGTGCACTCCAGCACACTTGGCTAAAATTCATGTACTTGATAATGATTCGTGCATTTGTGGTTCTGGCGTCGGAGACTTAAATCACATATTTTTTTACTGTTGCCTATATGATCGTTCCTCTTTTATTAGTTCTCTTTTAGCCATTAAAATTCCTTTTCCTACATCCATCACTTGCCTATTATATACCAATAACATTGATGTTTATAATATCCTAGCCGAATTTATTACCCATAATAATATAAAATTGTAAATAGTAATGTATATTGTACTTATGTAAATATTATTTTATTTTTATTATTTTGTAATTATATCACACCTAAATTGATCCTATGAAAACCATCCTTTGTTCCGTTTCCATCCGTAATTGATTCGTTTCCCTACCTTTTAACTTTAACCCAATCCCACCCTGTCTAAACGCAATGTCCGCAAAACTTATGGCAAAACTGAACGCAAAAATCAAGAACCCTGTCGTGGCTAAACGCAATCCGCGAGAGCCATAAAGAAAAAAAAAGTATTGGAATTTATCGACTGAAGTCGCTGTTTGGAAGCAAGTTTGATCGTAGTATGGAAGTTTCCGTACCCTGACTCTCAGTTTGACATGAGCCGTCATACGTCCGATTTTTGAAGTGTTTATTGATTATTTTATTAGAAGAAACATTGTGCAAGGTAAGTTGTGCTCTTATATTAAAAGATTATTTAATAGAAAATAAGGATGCAACAGCTGTTTTGATGAACTTGTTATATTGTTTTTTTCCCAAAGACATTTTTCAAGTTGTGTCGAGTGGCAGTTGAAGTGGATTTCAAGTGGATCAAATTAAGTGTTTCTTCCAAGTTATTACGTTAGTGCGACGTTGTTTTAATTATTCATTAGTTATTCAAGAAGCATTTTATAGAATAATCCAACAGCTGTATCGTAAGAATGGTTATGATTTTAATTGTTTACAAAAAGTGGCTCGACGATTAAATTACAAAATGGCCGCCGTCGTGCATACCAGTAGTATAGCCTGACCAGGAACATAAAAACCCTGGCATAGAGGCGCGTCAATTGCATTTGATAGTGCAACACTGAGTACAGTCGTACCTGTGTTAAATTAATAGGCTAACTTTATGTATCAGGATTCAGGATTATGGGCTAATTTGATATTTTCATAAATTAACGAAAAAATATTATTATAGGTAACCTGGTTTAAATATATTAAATGAAACCATCAATCGAGCTAGTAGGATTTATTTTATTATTCATCGATAATCAAATTCAGAACTTGAATGTTCAACTGCAATGTCTGCTCATGAACGCTTCAAACTCGGTACTTCTTTCCCAATTCCATAAAATTCAACACTTAGAAAGTGACAAAAAAAATTAAAATAGGCAGTAGAAACAAACCACAGCTAATTTTTATAGTGGACTGTACTATACGATAAACATGTCAGTCAATTTGACAACCTTTGTCGGAAACATTATTCAATGAAAATATTGTCCGAACCCTTAATATTTCTCTTCGAAAAATACTTTAACATATTGTGAACCACTTTTCTTCCACGACTATAAAAAGATTTTAGCAATATAGGTTTCACAAAATCAATTGCGCACATTTAAAATAAAGTTTGTTTACACTTTGACAGCAATAGACTGACATGCAAGGTGACATGTCTATGATGTTTTTAGTTACTGTTGCCATTAAAAGAAATTAGTACCATTAGTTTTCCGCAACATGGCGAGGGTTTTTATGTTCCTGGTCGGGCTATAAACAGTAGTAAAGGTAGGGACACAAAGGGCGGAAATCGGTACCGGTAATTGAATTTTTGATAAACTCATTTTATTAAAATTTCGGTGTTTTTACTTTTAATAAATAACTAGGAATGTTATTTTGAATTATTGTTTCTGTCCTACTAATATTTTAAATGCATATGTTTGGATGGATGGGTCATTCCATCGTTTCGGGTGTTACGTTCGTACACACAAATTCAACAATNTGTTACTCTGTCACGCTAAAACTGCTGAATGTTGATCAGTTAGGATAACATAATATAGGCTGTATATAATTATACAGGATGTTAAAAAAAGCAAATAATGTTATATATTTATTGCACCAGAATGCATAGGATGTTTTTTTGTTATTATTTACGTAGTTTCTAACTCAGTTCAGCAGTTTTGGGTTTATATTAATAAAACTAACAGCCTGTTTTAGTGTTGTGTTTAATGTCCGTGTCACCTATTGTTTAGGTGGTTATGGATCAACCAAATGAGCGTGGTCGTGGCCGTGGTCGTGGCCGTGGCCGTGGCCGTGGCCGTGGGCGAGTTGGTGTCAGCGCGAGAAGTTTGAATTTTGGAATGTGGGTTGCTTTGCTTTATTTAATGGTTTATTACCGGAACGGATTATTCCGTACCGGAAAACGCAGCGTGGGACGTCCACCTACAAGGTGGACCGACGACATCTTAAAGTTAGCAGGGAAGCGCTGGACGCAGGCCGCTACCAATCGATCAACATGGAAAGCATTGGGGGAGGCCTATATTCAGCAGTGGACGTCCTGTGGCTGAAATGATGATGATGATGATGAATGGTTTATTATAATGCATATGTGGTTTTCTGACTAAATCTTATATTTTAGTGATTGACGGAATAAGTGTATGATAATAATAATAAAATTATTTATTTTAGATCTCCAACACCAGGCCCAAGCACCACTAATGCAGTACCGACGTATGTAATCTTTTATTATTATTATTTTACAGTGTTTAAGATGCACTACAATAAGTTTTTTTCTATTCTAGTTCAATGGCTGAAGAAATAAAAAATATAAAAATAAACAAAGCAAAAGAAAAAAATGCCATCAAAATTCTTTCCTCGGAGCAGAGAACAAAGCTCCTTGCTCTGAGGGAAAAAAAACAAGTGGGACATTTTTTGATGCCTGACGCCCCACCTATGAAAATGAAGTAAGAACTGTTTCTTAAATTAGGATAATAATGTCGTTTGGTGAATTTTAATGTTTAAGGTGTAAATTAATTTGAAAATTGCTTTCAGGAAAAAGGGAAATATTTCGCCTGAGCGCATAAAGTGCCCTTTAACTCCCGGCACACCGGAAGTTCCACCTCCCCGCGTTCCCCAGGCTTGGGAACTTAAAAAAAGAAGTAAGTGATATTTAGTTACTCTATTTAATTACTCTACAGACACGATTTCCCTTACTAATTGTTACATTGAAATTGGTTCCAATCAATATATTTTTTAAATTCAATTCTAAAATTAATCGGTAATTTTTAGATGCAAGCGGTCCATTCAGCTACACAGTAGAACTGGAAAATGGTATGTAATCAATGATTTAATATTCTTTTTTTGATGTGTAACTAATAAATGAATCTTACCAAATCAATATTTGTAGATAATGTATCAGATAAGGAGGAGACCGCGTGTCAAACGCAGGTCAAACGCGCACGGCCGAGCAAGTAAGTTTCGGTTTCTGAATCATGGAATTGGAATTGAAATAACTACGACGTACACCTAATAATTATGTTTTTTCTTTTATATAGTTCAAAAGTTATGTTCACACCATCAACGGGGATCACAACGTCCGACATCTCCAACTACCAGATAGTAGACAGCGAAGTGGAACTGGTTGGATTTTCTGGTGGGTTTAAGTATTTTTTATTTTTTTTAAATAGATTTCCTTCGCGATTGACTTCATGAATACGTAAGGCGCGAATGGTCTGTCCGACCAATGGTTCATGAATGTTTTTATTTTAATTTAAGTTGATAATTTATAGCCTGACCAGGAACATAAAAACCCTGGCATAGAGGCGCGTCAATTGCATTTTATAGTGCAACACTGAGTACAGTCGTACCTGTGTTAAATTAATAGGCTAACTTTATGTATCAGGATTCAGGATTACGGGCTAATTTGATATTTTCATAAATTAACGAAAAAATATTATTATAGGTAACCTGGTTTAAATAAATTAAATGAAACCATCAATCGAGCTAGTAGGATTTATTTTATTATTCATCAATAATCAAATTCAGAACTTGAATATTCAACTGCAATGTTTGCTCATGAACGCTTCAAACTCAGTAAGTACCTACTTCTTTCCCAATTCCATAAAAAACACTTAGAAAGTGAAAAAAATAATTAAAATAGGTAGTTGAAGAAACAAACCACAGCTAATTTTCATAGTGGACTGTACTATTCGATAAACATGTCAGTCAATTTGACAACCTTTGTCGGAAACATTATTCAATGAAAATATTGTCCGAACCCTTAGTATTTCTCTTCGACAAATACTTTAACACATTGTAAACCACTTTTCTTTCACGACTATAAAAAGATTTTAGCAATTTAATTCACAAAATCAATTGCGCACATTTAAAATAAAGTTTGTTTACACTTTGACAGCAACAGACTGACATGCAAGGTGACATGACAATGAAGTTTTCAGTTACTGTTGCCATTAAAAGAAATTAGTACCATTAGTTTTCCGCAACATGGCGAGGGTTTTTATGTTCCTGGTCAGGCTATACACATAATCATGTAAAATTAAATTTTATTATTTTATGATAATCAAACAACACTTTTATTTCAGAACCTGCCTCTCCGGTTTCCGACGCGCTTCCACTGCCAGCATCATCAAAGGCAGTTTCCCCATTCTCAAGTAAGTTTAGTAATAATAGTCTTAAGAAAAAAATAATGATCTTAGTATAAAGTACTATTTTAACATGTTTTAAATAATGTAACTATTGTAATGATAAAGATAAAGATATCAACATGTCGTACCTTTGCGGTGTACAAATTAAATTAAAAATAATAAATAAATAAGGATTTAACAAGAATTATGTTTCAATGTTTATGTAAAAGAAATATTATTTTTCAGATTTTTTATTAGAAGATAATGGTGAAATCGATAAAGATGTACTGAAGTGGGAGACTACTGGAAACATAGGCAGTCATGTCGATGAAGATGAAAATGAGGCATTGGAGGCCTTTGATAAGGCAGACGACGTGGCATTAAGGGAATTGGCCACCGAGGATATGCTTCACTTCGAGTGGTCAAGTGATGCAAATGTTTTCAGGGGTCAGCGGGAATCATTTACGGGGGTTGCTGGTCCTACATTTTTAACGGAAGGATTGTCTCCATTCCAAATCTTTGAAAAGATTTGGGATGCAGACATCCTTTCGTTAATAGTGCGGGAAACCAACAAATACGCCGAAGACATCAAAAATAATCCTGGCTTAAAAAATGAGGCAGATATTAAAAGGTGGGTCCCGCTGACCACTGACGAACTTTTGATCTTTTTTGCAGTCATCATGTTTCAAAGTTTAATACCCATACCTGTTGAATCAGAATATTGGCGGCCTAGATATGACTATCTTAAAATAGGCCGCTTCGCCGATATGATGAGCTTCACAAGGTATAGGCTTATCAAAAAATGCCTTCATTTTGTGGACAACCATACGGTTTCATCTTCCACAAATACCCCAAACAAATTGGTTAAAATTTTGCCAATTATCAACCACCTTAATAATAAATTTAGCTCGTTATACCTACCCGAGCAAAACATCGCTATTGATGAATCCCTATTGTTATGGAAGGGGAGGCTGTCATTTGCACAGCTCATAAATACAAAAGCTGCTCGGGTGGGTATAAAAAGTTACGAGCTATGCGAGTCCAAGTCGGGATATTTGTGGAAGATGAAGCTTTATGCCGGCAAAGGGCAAGATATGCAATTTGAAGTTCCTGAACGCGACGATGCAGAGCCAGAGGGTGCCACCAGCAAGATCGTATTTGATTTAGTCCGACCTTTGCTAAATCGGGGGCACACTCTGGTGATGGACAACTTTTACAACAGCCCTTTGCTCTCCAGAGCCCTTAAAAAATACAAAACGGACACAATGGGGACGTTACGTCTTAGCCGCGAATTTGTGCCCAACTGCCTCCAGTCAAAGACCAAATGGAACATGAGCACTGGGGAAGTGGCTTTTAGCCAAACGAGGGACATTACGATTGTAGTCTGGAAAGACTGCAATCTGGTGTCCCTCATATCGACCTACCATCAGGCAAAAGTCGGCGGACAAGAAAAATACGGAAAATACAAATACAAGCCGCAAGTTGTGCTGGATTATAACCTCTCCATGGGTGGGATCGACAAAAAAGACCAGTTGCTGCAGGCCTTCCCCGTGGAGAGAGTAAGAAACAAAATCTGGTATAAAAAACTTTTCCGCCGACTTTTGAACGTTTCAATCCTAAATGCTCATGTTCTTTTTGGTACTGGTGGCACAAGGTTGTCGTCGAGGGAGTTCAGGAGCCGTCTCGCCGACGAGATGTTAAACAAATTTCGTCCTCTGGCTCCCTCGACTTCAACCGTTGTGACGGAACATTTTCCGGCTAAAAACTCCCAAAAAGGGGCAAAGGCACGTTGCAAACTGTGCCACAAAAAAGGTGTAGATTCTCGCACAGTGTGGAAGTGCGAGAAGTGCGACATAAGTTTGTGCATGCCAGAATGTTTTAAAACTTTTCACTTATACCTTAGTTCTTTAGAAATTTCCCTAAATGTAAACAAATATGGCCAACTGACATTGACGAATTTTTAGTCTATGTCAGTTGATCTACTAGTGATGCGACAAAATCTCTCGTTAATCGCAATTCTGTAAATGTCATTTACGGACTGCAACCACAGATTACTTATACTGCAACAGACGATTATTAGATTTTTAAAGATCGTTTGTATAATTATTAAGATCAATCCCTCTTCTGATTGATATTGAGATCAGTAATGTGATCGTCAAAATAGGATCTTCTTAATGAAAGAATATTTAATTTTCCCTTTTTTATTTGTTTAGGAAATATAATTTAAATTATACTGTGGGTCTAGACAAAGTGCACAATAAAATCGTAAACCAGTCGAAAAGTGGTCGAAAGGCCTTTTTTATGTGACACTCGTCTGTATAATAAAGCTGAATTCAAAGACTTCTTCGCAAAGTGTGTTGTTGCATTTAATGAAGAAAAAATACATTGTTGAATATAACCTCGTTTATATTTTATTTTAAACTAGCTGACCCGGCCAGTGGCGTAGCTTGGGGGGGGGCAGGGGGGGCCATGGCCCCGGGCGGCATATGAAAGGGGGCGGCGGATAAGAAAAAAAACATTGCATGAACAAGAAAAAAAAAGGTCGACTATGTCTACGTTGAGACTAACAAATCTAGCTATACTGGCAATTCAAAATNTTTTGGGACACGTTATATACATAGTTGGTCAGGGAATTTTGAAAAAATTGTCAGGGAAAGTCAGGGAAAAGTCAGGGAATTTTTTCGAACATTTGCAGTGGACACCCTGATTAAGCACATTGTTATTCCTTCTAAGTTCAATAAGCACTATACAATACAGGGTGTTTCTTATAAGGTGTCAAGCCGAAGGCACAGGTGATAGGTGATAGTTTAGAAGTTATCGTTAATTTTGTGATTTTTTCAAATTTTATGACCTAGTAGGCTTTAATTTTTTTTATCTTTTTTTGGGTTGACTTTTCTCAGATTTCTTTTTTTTGACAGATTCCCTATTAATTGCAGATGTTTGAAAAAAATAATCACCTTCCTATCTTTGATTTTTTATTTACAAAATTTTCGCTAGAAACATAAAAAATATGCTTTTAGCAGAACATTCTAAAATTTTCAACTTAAAAGTTTGAAAAAAAAATGAACTCATAGGTCCAAAATAGTTTTAAAAACTGCGCAGTTTTCTAAACTTTCATTAATACAAAAAAAACATGTACAATACGCCATTTTTTTCTGTAATCGCTCCACTAAAGTGGAAAGTCGGAGATTCAATAAAAAAAAAATCAAAGGCAAGAGCTTCCTCGTTGTGGATAAAAAATGTTCTGTTCACTTATTGTCTCTAAATGTGTTCTACTTAACGTAAACTTAGGGGATTGCAAACATTAGTTAGTCCTAAGAAAGTCAAAAACATGTAACGGAATCTCCGACTTACCACTTTAGTGGAGCGATTACAGAAAATAATGGTCTATTTATTAAGTACATGTTTTTTTTTGTATCATTATGAAAGTTCAGAAAACTGCGGAGTTTTTAAAATTATTTTGGACCTATGGAAGTTCTTTTTTTTTTCAAAGTTTTAAGTTGAAAATTTTAGAATGTTCTGCTAAAAGCATATTTTTTATGTTTCTAGCAAAAATTTTGTATCTTGCATGAAAGATAGGAAGGTGATTATTTTTTTCAGACATCTGCAATTACCTAATAGGGAATCTGTCAAAAAAAATAATTCTGAGAAAAGTCAACCCAAAAAAAAAGATAAAAAAAATTAAAGCCTACTAGGTCATAAAATTTGAAAAAAATCACAAAATTAACGATAACTTCTAAACTACGAAAAATCGTAGAACATACATGGAAGTGAAATCGATAGGTCTAATCCTCACCTATCACCTGCCTTCGGCTTGACACCTTACAAGAAACACGCTGTATAATTTAAGATAATATTTACTCTCAATTGACAAATAAATACTTTAATATTTGTTATTATTGTTTATTGTTATACACCTAGTGTTACATAATAAAGCTGAGCTATTTAAGAAAATCAAACTTCCTGTGGGTTTCAAGCAATTGCTTCTCTTTAATGTATTTTCCTTCTGAAGCAGTGCGTGGTAGTTTATTTTGACTTTCAACAAATAAGGTGAATAGTGTACCTGAAGTCCATTCAATATAATATTTACACTTTAAAATATAATTAAAATAAAGGGCGGCGGATATCCGGACGGCCCCGGGCGGCGAAAAGCCACGCTACGCCACTGGACCCGGCGAACTTTGTTCCGCCTTAATGGCAATAAAAAGTATCCTATGTCCTTCTCCTGGCTCTAAACTACCTCCCTGACAATTTTCAGCTAAATCGGTTCAGCCGTTCTTGAGTTATAAGTGGAGTAACTAACACGACTTTCTTTTATATATATAGATTAATATTATCAAAGTAATTGGTAATTGAAATAATTGAATACTTGAAATAAAATCGATAAAATTTACAGATTATTATCTATGAATATTGTCTATGACTTACAGATTTTCCAGAGATAGGACCTAAATTTAAACGTCAAATGTCGATTTGACATTTTAACATGAAGCACAAATTTTCACCATCCAAATATTTTGTTAAAATATTTTGTTTTCAATGTTAGATTTCATATTTGTTTCATCATGAGAATAAAGTTGGTTTCATGAGCTTGTGAAATAATGTGTATGATATTAAGAAAACGTGAGTATTATAGTGTAATTGTGTGCACAAGTGTTTGTTTACATCGATGGAAATTTCTAAAGAATTTAGGATTAGAAAGATGCTAACTTTCTAAGTGTAAGCTTTCAAACATTCTTCTTAATCTGCCCAAGTTAATATTTTTTTTCTGTATATCTGGCTTTTTGTATTATCCTAACAATAACGAACGAAAATGAAGGTTTTTGGTAAAATCCCTATTCTAATATCAGTTTTTGCATCTGCATTTGGTTTTCATACTATTTGTATAAAACACATACTTATTTTTGGTATGGCAAAAAGATTATGAGGCATGTAACGGCTACTTAAGACCAACACATTAAGTTATTCATTTTAATATTTGACGATTTGTAAGCACTATTTTAATAGCCCGTGCATATTTCTTGTAATGGGTATTAAACTTTGGAACATGATGAAACTGCGTACCTTTGATGTGCAAGCGTATCTTACACCTGGGAAAATACATCCAAAGCCCATAGGATGTAAAACATATCGCCCCCCAAAAGATCATTCATCATTTAAATACACCTTAAATTTAAAATAACTTGAAAAAATCGAATTGCCTAAGGTGGGAATCGAACCCACGATTTCATCAATTAATCAAGATCGAAAGGCGACTTAACGCCATAAAAATTATATTAACTATGTAACTATGAATACACCTTTTTATTCCAGCATGTGTTTGAAGGCGTAAGCCGAATCTCAATCGGTACTGGTACTGATACCGGTTTATGCTCTCAGTGTGTACCCAGCCTTACGACCGGCTGTTTTGCTTACTCATACAAAATAGGACTCTGTTTTGAATACCTATTGTATAGGTTTGGTACGCGCTATTGACGTGATATTTATACATATTGTACTCAAATAACCTATCTTTTAAAAGCTGTTAATATTTTTGGGGTATGTGTAAGAATAAATCTGTAATAAATTATGAAACTGGCGAGAAAAAATACGCCATCTGTCAAATTGTATCGTCATTTAAAAATAATTAAATACATGTTTTTTTAACACTAATAAGTAGTTTCATTATTTTTATCTTACAACATATTAACCAATTGACCTAATGAATAAAAAAAATAAGTAGGTTATCGATTTAATTACGGAAATAAAATATACTTTAGCTCGAGTATTAGCCATTTCTACAGCTAGTTTCGACTTTCATAGTTCATTGTAATTAATAATGTACATAAAAAGCAACGATAACAACACTGTTCGAAAGCTACATTCATCTGCTATCATAAAAACGGCACTCCATTCATAACCTTTCTAAGAAGCGGTCATAAACATTAGTTTTTACGACTAGGGTCCCACGCGCGGCGGGTGACGTCATGGGGACGAGAACTCAAGGACGTTTTTTTTATACGCGTCAGGTATTCAAGCGGGTAGGGTAAAAAGATTATGAGACATGTAGAGGCTCCTTAAGAGCAAAATGACGATTTGTAAGAACTATTTATTAGTCTAAATCTATACTTATAATAAATCTGTAGAGAGGTCAATTCTGTACATGAAATATATTTTCAAAATAACTATCAGGGGGTGATTAGTGATCGATACTGATGCCAAAAATGCAATCAGTAAAATTTTTGTCTGTCTGTCTGTCTGTATGTTCCTTATAGAAACAAAAACTACTCGACGGATTTTAACGAAACTTGGTACAATTATTCTTCATACTCCTGGGCAGGTTATAAGATACTTAGGAATTCCCACGGGACCGGGAATTAGCGGGAAAATCTTTTTCTATGAAAAATCTAAACTGCTTAAGTTAGACACTTGAAATTTGGCATGCAGGTACCTTAGTAAACTTAAAGCTTAGTTACAACAGGATATTGCAAAATTCCCACGGGAACGGGAGTTAACGGGAAAAAACATTTGTATGAAAAAATCTAAACCGCGTATGATAGACGCTTGAAATTTGGCATGCAGGTACCTTAGTAAACTTAAAGCTTAGTTACAACAGGATATTGCAAAATTCCCACGGGAACGGGAGTTACCGGGAAAAACATTTGTATGAAAATATCTTAACCGTGTAAGATAGATGAAGGGGGTAAAACGGGATCCACGCGTACAAAGTCGCGGGCGGCCGCTAGTAAATAAATAAATTTTGACTTTGACTTTGATCAAATCAGAAATGAGGAGATCCGTAGGAGTAAAGTGACCGACAAAGCCTGCAGAATTGCCAAAGCTAAGTGGCAGATGCAGCATGTGGAACTGATGGCCGTTGTTCAAAAGTTCTCGGTAGCCTAGCCCTCCATCAGTAGCAGTTCTTTGGCTAAAATTATGAAGCCCGAATCTACGTCGAAACTATCGTGTGCTCACTATGATGCTTCAATAAACAACACAATATTGTTGATTGATCGTATGATACCGTAGATCAGCAAGCGGCGCGAGCGCAACGAGGCAAAGCATGACCTTTGAAACCTTTGTATTAAACGGATTCGAAGCACACGTAGTGTGAAACCGGTCTAAGTCTAGTTATTAGAGATAAAACGGATATCCGGTAACTATCCGGTAGGCCGGATATCCGGCTATCCGGCCTAGCAGCTGGCCGGATATCCGGTATCCGGTATCCGGCCAAACAACTATCCGTTTCATCTCTACTAGTTATGCTGCAGTCTGCTGCACACTCACTGTGATGTCTTAGGTCAGTGAGCGGCGCAAGCGCAGCGAGGCATCTTGTGACATTCCGCGCGCCGCCCCGCCAGCGCGGCCGTTGTAACCCTTGTGTTTGATAGATCCTGAGTGAACCCTAGTGCGATGCTGTTCTAAGTCTCTAGTATTATGCAGCGCACTCACTGTGATGTCTTAGAGCCGCTGCCGTAGCTGTCTACCAGCTTTATGTACCTTTGTCTAACTAAACTCTAAGGGGACAGTCCCCCACGACTGTTACTTCCAGGACTACAGCACCGGTCACATCTAGTCTAGTGTCTGGTCTGCGAGCACGTAGAATTTTGTCCAATGACCCCAAGCTACCCATCCTTATCGCTCGCGCGTAATTATGTTGCTGTCGCGCTCGCACACTCACTGCGGGTGCCCGTCGCGCAGTCGCGACAGCAATATAATTATGCGCGAGCGATAAAGATGGGTAGCTTGGGGTCATTGGACGAAATTCTACGTGCTCACAGACCGGGCTTTAGTATTATACAGCGCACTTACTGTGATGTCGTAGATCGGTAAGCGGCGCGAGCGCAGCCAGACATCTTGTAACATTCCGCGCGTCGCCGGCCGCCAGCGCGGCTGCCGCACCGCCACCGTAACCGCGCCCCCATACTCCTACCCGCGAACCGTCCACCATCTTAATGTAACTTTGTTAAGGGGACTCTCACGACTATTACTTTGAGTTTCTTCCGCCACTTCTACTCAGCACCAGCCCATATGTTGTCCCGAAGTGGTGGTAGGGCAAGCTATATTTGGGACGTGTATTAGAGCCCTGGAAAGGGCCTGTGTACTGAATAAACTATTTGAATATGTTTCGGGAGACAGGATTCCAGGGTCATTCCTCCTTAGTATCACCAGGCTGATAATTCTTAGGTCTACGTCAACAAGAGTGCTTCCTTACAGCGAGGCAGTGCGTAGCGTTGCGCGTGTTGCTCGACACCAGCCCTGTCACGTTGTAACCTGTTGTACCCTTTGATTTTGACCTAGTGTGAAACTGCTCTAAGTCTAGTATTAAGCTGCACACTCACTGTGATGCCGTAGATGTGATAGTCAAATATTATGCAGCGCACTTACTATGGTGTCTTAGATCAGTGAGCGGCGCAAGCGCAGCCAGACATCTGGTGACATTCCGCGCGTCGCCCGCCGCCAGCGCGGCTGCCGCGCCGCCGCCGTAGCCGCGCCCCCATACTCCTACCCGCGAACCGTCCACCATCTTGAGGTTGTCGCGGAGGTAGCTGCGAATATTATGCCACTTTTAATCCCCGTGGGAAGATTTAAGGTATCTGCGGACATGGAATAACCAAATGCTTGTTTACATGGTTTTTAGGTTTTTATATAAAATAGTTTAGGTAACAGTTAAAATCTTGTCGCTAAGTAAAGGAAGGTCTTTATTTAGACTGGAATAAAAAAGAAATGGGAACTAAGTACCTAATACACAAAACCCTAAGCAAGATAGCAACATCAGAATTTGAAGAACTAAGATACATTTTTATTTCATTGATCATACACATTTTCTCGTTCTCTCGTCAGTTCTGTTCTACTGCACCTTTGTAGCTAACCATACAATAATATGTTTTAAAAATTCCTACCAGTCAAGCATCTCATTTCTTCGTTCCAATAAATAACAGGTGTAATAATAAGAGAGTACTCACGATAACACAGCAATTTGATCCTCCACATCGACAGTCAGGAGTTTATTGTAGATTTCTGTCCTCAGTTCTTCTCCCTATAAAAAATACCATCAGTTAGTTCACTAGTCCTCTATGTCCAATAAATATAACATGAAACATTACATAGTTTCTGGCCAAGTTTATTTACAGAAGACTACATACAACCCCGTCGAATTAACTGCGAATCTAGCAGCCGTGACGTCACATCGATGCTTTGATACGGACGGGGCGAACGCGGAGAGTTGTGCGGGTGAAAATAAAAATGATTTGATTTGATAATTGGGAGGGATAATTGCATTCCAACGAGGTACGCAGTTAGCTCGATGGTGTTGTAAGTGTTATACAGGGTGTCCCAGAATGGGTGAATCAAACTACTAGGGGAGATAGCCCTACTTATGTACTATCTCTAAAAAACGTGAAAAAAAAGCGCATAAGGAAACAAAAAAAAATTTGAAAAAGTGAAAATAAATCAGCTTTGCCTAAGTAGGTATCTGGCTATAATTGCTGCGTTTGGAGTTTATTTGTGATATATACTTACTAATATTAATTGTGCATAATCGCTTCGTTTATCTGTAGGCCTAAGATACGCGCCGTGATAACTTTTATCGACGTCAATTTGTATGGGCAAAATCGATAAAATGGCGTGATAACCGCCTATCACGGCGCGCATCTTAGGCCTACTGTAAACAAACTTTTGAAAATAATGACTAGATTTTGAGTTTAAAGCACTTTATTAAAAAAGAAATTCCAAACTCAAAAATATTTTTTTTCATATTTTTTAGGGATAGTACAGATTAGTAGAGCTACCTCCCCTAGCAGTTTGATTCACCCATTCTGGGACACCCTGTATGTCTTGGCCAAAGAACATTATCCTCGGCAGAAGTATGTCAAGTGTCTCACCTGTCCCCCCGAGCCCCGGGCGTCGATCTCGGCCACGATGAAGTTCCGGGCGGCCGCCAGGTACCAGCTCCAGCCCGGCTTCCACCGCTCCGTCACCAGCTGCCCGCCCGGCTGAGCTGACCTGGAAAGTTTTTGGCAGTATTAACAACCATAAGATTCCTACAGTATTTAATATTTATGGGTATACTTAATTAACATAGAAAATGCGGTGAAGTAGTATCATCTTTTCTATGATTCGCTCCGTTTCTTTTAATAAAAATCTGCTACTATAGTCCGGTCGCAGAACGTAGAATTTCGTCCAATGACCTCAAGCTACCCATCCTTATCGCTCGCGCGTAATTATATTGCTGTCGCGACTGTGCGACGGGCGGCCGCAGTGAGTGTGCGAGCGCATTGGACGAAATTCTACGTGCTCGGCGACTGGGCTTTAACTCCACAAGAGTACGAAAGACTGTTCTTTATTGGTAAATATAATAGGTAGGTATCCATAACAACACTTGCTCCATCTTTGAATAAAAATATGATCAGATCAAACGTGGAAAGTTATCTAGTATACTACGCGGGCTACAAAAGCTAGTCTAGGAAGGTAATACTAGTTACTTACACTTGAAGCACCAGTGGCAGAGGCAGGTCATCCGTTTCTCTGAACCCTGGTGGCAGTAGAAGCCGCACCCGGGCCTCGCGGTTTGTTTGCACCTGAAATCAATGATCCTTTAAATTTTTTTTCTACCATATTTTGCAGGTTCATAGGAATCACATGCGTTTAGAAAAGCGCGTTCATTATGCGTTTCGAAAAAAGACGATCGTACGAAGAGCGTTGACAACTATTCACGCTTCATAAAAACACAGTAGTTCACAAAATGCATAAATGGATCTTTCAGCGTTGATAATTAGCGTAACCCGAAAAACCCGCCTAACCCTTATGTTCACCACTACATCATCCCTCGAAGAGATTCGAACCGGCAACTGTTATAAGTAGCCATGTGAACCCCAGTCCTTCACTACATGGTCATTAGTAATGTTGAACCCCAGTCCTTCACTACATGGTCATTAGTAATGTTACGGGACTATTCCCACCTTTCGTTCTCACCGCTGCAACTCCTGTGTAGCCAGGATCTACAGCTTGACCGCCAATAAAAACCCAACCAGTGAAGGTCAAGTTTGTCCCGGGGAAAGTCATTAGTAATAATATTAGCCCCCGGAGTAATTCCAACCGACATCGTTCGTTCGTTTGTTTCAGCCAAATGACGTCCACTGCTGGACAAAGGCCTTCCCCAAGGTTTTCCACAATGAACGGTCCTGCGCTGCCCACATCCAGGCTCTTCCCGCGACCTTCACCAGATCGTCGGTCCAACTAGTAGGAGGCCTGCCCACTCTACGTCTTCCAGCCCGTGGTCGCCACTCGAGAACTTTTCTGCCCCAACGGCCATCGTCTCTACGAGCTATGTGCCCCGCCCACTGCCACGTGAGTTTAGCAATACTGCGAGCTATGTCGGTCACTTTGGTTCTCCTGCGGATAGCTCATTTCTGATTCCATCACGAAGGGAAACTCCGAGCATAGTCCTTTCCATAGCACGCTGTGTAACTACAGCTTGACCACCAATTGAATTTCCCCGGGAAAAACTTGAACTTCACTGGTTGGGTTTTACCAGTGAAGTTCAAGTTTGTCCCGGGGAAATTCATTAATAATAATATTTGCTCTCGGAGAAATTCGAACCGACAACTCTTTTGGTACCGGGAAACGCAGCATGAGACGTCCACCCACAAGGTGGACGCAGGCCGCTATCAATTGATCAACATGGAAAGCATTGGGGGAGGTCTATGTTCAGCAGTGGACGTCCTATGGCTGAAATGATGATGATGACTCTTGGTGATCCTCGTTGCCACTGACCTCGACTCTGAACACCTTGACCTGTGGCTGTGCCAGCTGCGCGAACTTGTGCCGCAGCGCTTCTCCGCCCCACAGCAGCGCGCGGGTGGACCCGTCCCGCGCGCGCACCCACGCCGCCGGCGGGCCCGGGCCCAGGCACTCCTGCGCACAACAAACACATGTTATTCCACTGTTCACCTGGGCACGGTAATACTATCTATACAGTATTCCAACTCGGCCATATTTTTGAAATAAATGTCAACAGCCGCGCGGTACGTCACCGTATGACAACATGCGATAGGGCTGCCCACCTACAGTACCCATTTTAATTACATCTGCCTACTTAGAATTTCTATCTAGTTTTGTGATTGTATTTTTTTTTATTATTTTATATTTTGTGCTTGGTACATTTCATTTAAAAAAAAGCTAATAAAATAATTTTTAAACTACTAATCATAATGACCTGTTACTTTAATTTCAGGCGAGCGAAGTCGTGGGAAAAACCTGGTTTTATACAATATAATTTTCATTTCAAATCAAACTGACTGAAAATGACAATTTTTTACAGTTAATGACTAGTTTTCGACCAATTTGACCGTAAATGACTGTCAGTCAAATTCAATCACTTTAGTAATTTTCAACACAAGGCCACTGACGTCCGTTCGTTACTGCGGCACATTCGCGACACCCCCGACTTTTGCACGTCGAGCGCACACCGAGATTTGAATTTCGAAGGAAAGCTCGCGTTCCGTCTATTTATATGAAGTTACAATACTGTATGATAGTATTACCGCAACCTGGTGAATTTTTAGAGTCCTCATTTCCCCTCGGAACAATTTCACCCAGTGGCCTAATATTCACGTATTTTGACAGTCAAAATCTCGCTCGACGTCCAGAAGTCGTCCCATTGAAAAACAGTTCAAAATCCGTATTCACAAGGGTCATTTCGATAGAACGATTACTCGATAGGATCGCAACTCAGCGATTGAATATTTTTGCCGTTGAAATTTGTTACGTGAATAAGGTTACGGGTGATATCATCCAGTTGAATTAATTCGACTAAAGCAGTCACTTTTGTTCACCTAGGTCTTCGCATCTGTTCACCTGGGGGAATTAATTCCTATGAACAAAGGTAACCGCTTTAGTCGACTCAATTCACCTGGAAAATTAAGCTTGAATTGAGGACACTAAAAATTCCTCTCTCAAGTTCTCAACTCTCAATGAAAGAAATACTGACTTATACTGGCTTAATCTTACCCCTTTGTTACATAGACTTTAATCAGCTGTGTGGTATTTTAGCAATTGGTATATTTGTAAGCTGTTTGTTTTAGAATAGAATAGAATAGAAAACTTTTTATTTGCAAGAAAGGTATACAAGCAAGCAAGACATACATTCAAACAGAGAGAAATAACAAGTGGACAATTAACTGCTTGTGCCCCTCTAACAAAAAGGCACCCGCTCAGCGTACATCAAGACCGCCAGGGCTAGTCTTGAAACTGATTTTCAGCGGGGGCCCTCTGTTGTCACGGCGTACCCCTGCTGACGGAGATGCAAGAGGAGAAAGGAGTCCACAAGTCCGGCAGCAGGGAGAACGCAGCAGTTTTCCGAATACAATAAAATAAAATACAGTTCGGACTTACCTGCACATAGTAGGAGAAGTTCTTGCTGAACATGATTCTGTTGTAGAGGCACTCGGCGGGCAGCGAGTCGTTCTCGTCCGCCACGTGTGGCAGCACCGTCGACGTCGGCCACGCGGGTAGGGACGATGTGGAGTTCTCGCTCTCCTGCGAAAGATAATGTTAATATTATGTTGATGGGGGTAAGGTTGCTTTTCAACTGAAGAAATGGATAAAAGGTAAACTGCAAAAATAGTTCCTATTCTCGGAGTTCTTGCTCGTCTGCCCAAGGAGGATATTATGCTAAGTTGAAGGGGGTAAGGATATTTTTGAATTAAATAAATGTACACGTTATTTTGTGTAATACTTATGCTGGCAGCGCGTCGTAGCGTTCTTATTCTCCTGTGAAACTATAATTCGAATGAGACTAAGATTTATCTTGATATTAAGATGCCTTTAGTTAGGGCAATGAGACACACGCCACGAGCGCAGATCTGCAAAAGTTTTTCTTATTTCGCGTGAAATATACGGGACTATTCCCACCTCTCGTTCCCACCGCTGCATCTCCTATGTAGCCAGCATCTAACGCTTGACCGCCAATAAAAACCCAACCAGTGGAGGTCAAGTTTGTCCCGGGGGAAAGTTACACTGTCATTATACCCGCAACTAAATTAATCAGAAGAACATTTTCTAGTCCACCCAGGTGAATGAAGTAATTTAGTGACATCCTAGCTTAGGAATTGGATGTCTGGTGGAAAAGCATCCTTAGCTGCTCATCACTAGTCGCCTCAGTGGTGGCTCCGGGAGCGGCACGAGAGGGATGATTTTGACACACGTTACAGAGCATACAAATTTGAAGTTTCGCTGACATTTGACGTAAAAAAAACATCCTCCCGTGCCGCTCCCATACCTCAGGCACTGCCCGAGTCAAGCGCTTGAACTATAGCTATAGCTATAGCTGGGGATATAGTTCTTACCGGCTCATCACTGGTGGCTTCTGTAGTGGCTCCGGCTGGCGCGGCGCCGGGACACGTGAGACAGGCGGGCTCCGGCCACGTGGAGGCGTCGGGCGGCACCTTCACATGGTAGGCAGGGTACTCACCTGCCATGTAGCACGTAAGCATGTAACGTATCCAACCTTCAAATGAGTACGGTTTGTCCACGGTCATCGCGTACCTAGCTGCGAACTCCCGGAGCCGCCTTTGTGCTCGCAGAGATACCGCCACTCGGCGGGTCGCTGCGATCTCCCTGCGAACCACGCGCGAGCAGCAGGCTCGTGCCAAGTGAGTACATACTCACTTGATACAGTATCTGATACATTACATGTTACACGGCTAGATGAGTATCCTGCTGTACAGATGCCGTTCACGTCTTGTCCGGGCCGAGTCATCGCTAGCTGGGGATAAAGTTCTTACCGGCTCGTCGCTGGTGGCTTCAGTAGTGGCTCCGTGCTGTGATCGTCAGGCCCCAGAAGGGGGAGAACTGAACATAGGGACAAGGACGCAGATAAAATAACTTGTAGGGAGTCAAGAAGTGTGGCGCGGTGGAGTGCAATCTGCCCTCGGCAGCCGCAATTCCGCGCACACCTCCCGCGATTCGGCCAGTATAACCGCGAGGTTGGTATGGCCATGGGTGGTGGTGGGTTGTCCGGGCCATATCATCGCTTGCTGGGGATATAGTTCTTACCAGCTCGTCGCTGGTGGCTTCAGTAGTGGCTCCGGCTGGCGCGGCGCCGGGACACGTGAGGCAGGCGGCGGGCTCCGGCCAGGTGGAAGCGTCGGGCGGCACCTTCACGCGGTAAAGATGTCGCTCGTCTTGTCCGGGCCGAGTCATCGCTAGCTGGGGATATAGTTCTTACCGGCTCGTCGCTGGTCGCTTCTGTAGTGGCTCCGTGCTGTGATCGTCAGGCCCCAGAAGGGGGAGAACTGAACATAGGGACAAGGACGTAGATAAAATAACTTGTAGGGAGTCAAGAAGTGTGGCGCGGTGGAGTGCAATCTGCCCTCGGCAGCCGCAATTCCGCGCACACCTCCCGCAATTCGGCCAGTATAACCGCGAGGTTGGTATGGCCATGGGTGGTGGTGGGTTGTCCGGGCCGTGTCATCGCTAGCTGGGGAAATAGTTCTTACCGGTTCGTCACTGGTAGCTTCAGTAGTGTCGCTGCCACGTCGCTGGTAGCATTAGTATAACCGCGAGGTTGGTATGGCTATAGGTGGTGGTGGGTTGTCCGGGCCGTGTCATCGCTAGCTGGGGATAAAGTTCTTACCGGTTTGTCGCTGGTCGCTTCAGTATTGGCTCTGGCCATGTGGAGGCGTCGGGTGGCACCTTCACGCGGTGGTGCTATGCCTATGACGTAGCTGGGGATATAGTTCTTACCGGCTCATCACTGGTGGCTTCAGTAGTGGCTCCGGCTGGCGCGGCGCCGGGACACGTGAGGCAGGCGGCGGGCTCCGGCCAGGTAGAGGCGTCCGGCGGCACCTTCACGCGGTAAAGATGTCGCTCGCCCGCTTTGTCTGGTGCCGTGCCTATGACGTAGCTGCGGGATTACAAGTAGTTGTTAATCATCATCATCATCAGGTCATTTAATCGTAGCAGGAGTACAGCCCTCTCTATTATACCACAGGTTAATGGAGGGTTTGCCAGAGGGGTGTTGAAGAGGTCTAATGTTCGCATATTTGCCCCTTACGACGTCCACAGAAAGAGAAAGAGCGATGTAATGGTCATAAAATATTCAACTCTGACAGACATTTCTTACTAGACCTTATAAAGATTAAATAAACAAAAATAATGACAGTGGGCGGGGCACATAGCTCACAGAGCTGATGGCCGCTGGGACAGAAATGTTCTCGAGTGGTGATCGCGGGCCGGGCCGGGCCGGAAGACGTAGTGTGGGCAGGCAGGATCTTCGGGGAAAGCCTTCGTCCAGCAGTGGACGTCATTTGGCTGAAACGAAGGAACTAAGTACGTGGCCAACCAATCTTTTTTTGCTGGTAAACAGTGAGAAACAACCTCCCAATAAGTTTCCTTAATCAAGAAAGTTCAACTCTCAGCAGTTTCGTCCTTTCGTCCCACCCAACTAGCTGCGTAACTTCAAAATTCCCTTGCGTAAGCGTCATCCTACTGTCATGCGAGACTCGCACAGCATGTCGCCACGTGCCTCTCAATTGGTTCCCTTTAATGAAGGTTGAAGCCAAGAGAGCACGCTGTCGATCGCCAACCCCTGGATAGACGCCATCACAAAGGCCACTGAGTCCACCATGGTTCAGTATACTCGCGACGCCTCTAACCGTCAGAAATGGAAGCACATCGCCAGGTAAGCTACCCTCGGATGACATCACCCCACCGTGTACCTCGTCAGCGCAACCATGACCGCTCTGACAAGTGTCCGACTAAGAAGAATGAAGAATGTTCAACTCACAGCAGTTTCCTTCTCTCGTCCCAGCCCACCAGCTGCGTGACTTCAAAATTCCCTTGCGTGAGTGTCATCCTGCTGTCATGCGTGACGCGCACCACATGCTGCCACGTGACTCCCACCCAAGAAGGCAAGAGAGCCTAACTAAGAAGAATGAAGAAAGTTCAACTCACAGCAGTTTCCTCCTCTCGTCCCAGCCCACCAGCTGCGGGACTTCAAAGTTGCCCTGGGTCAGCGTCATCCTACTATCATGCGAGACTCGCACAGCATGTCGCCACGTGACTCCCAATAGGTTCCCTTTAATGAAGGTTGAAGACAAGAGAGCACGCTGTCGATCGCCAACCCGCTGGATAGACGCCATCACAAAGGCCGCTGAGTCCACCATGGTCCAGTGTACTCGCGACGCCTCTAACCGTCAGAAATGGAAGCACATCGCCAGGAGAGCTACCCTCGGAGATGACGTCACCCCACCATGTACCTCGTCAGCGCAACCACGACCACTCTGACAAGTGTCCGACTAAGAAGAATGAAGAAAGTTTAACTCACAACAGTTTCCTTATCTCGTCCCAGCCCACCAGCTGCGTGACTTCAAAGTTCCCTTGCGTCAGCGTCATCCTACTGTCATGCGTGACGCGCACAGCATGCCGCCACGTGACTCCCACCCAAGAAGGCAAGAGAGCCTAACTAAGAAGAATGAAGAAAGTTCAACTCACAGCAGTTTCCTCCTCTCGTCCCAGCCCACCAGCTACGTAACTTCAAAATTCCCTTGCGTGAGCGTCATTCTGCTATCATGCGTGACGCGCACCACATGCTGCCACGTGACTCCCAATAGGTTCCCTTTAATGAAGAAAGTTCAACTCACAGCAGTTTCCTTCTTTCGTCCCAGCCCACCAGCTGCGTGACTTCAAAATTCTTTTGCGTGAGCGTCATCCTGCTGTCATGCGTGACGCGCACAGCATGTCGCCATGTGACTATCAATAGGTTCCCTTTAATGAAGGTTGAAGGCAAGAGAGCACGCTGTCGGTCGCCAACCCGCTGGATAGACGCCATCACAAAGGCCACTGAGTCCACCATGGTCCAGTGTAGGTACTCGCGACGCCTCTAACCGTCAGAAATGGAAGCACATCGCCAGGAGAGCTACCCTCGGAGATGACATTACCCCACCGTGTACCTCGTCAGCGCAACCACGACCACTCTGACAAGTGTCCGCCTAAGAAGAATAAAGAAAGTTCAACTCACAGCAGTTTCCTCCTCTCGTCCCATCCCACCAGCTGCGTGACTTCAAAGTTGCCCTGGGTCAGTGTCATCCTACTATCATGCGTGACGCGCACAGCATGCCGCCACGTGCCGGCCGCGTCTGCCACCGGGGCGGTCGTGAACACCGCGTCCCGCCCGCCCAGCAGGGCGCCGCCGCCGCACCAGCCGCAGTCGTCTTCTACTGGCTCGGCGCCGAGACCCGACCAGCGGGAGCCGTCGGTCTCGTCTCGGAAGATCTGGAAGTAGTTTGAGGACGATTCTGTTTAAAAGCTCATTAGCCTCAATTTAATGATGAAGATTTAATAAAGGCTACTGACAACGCCGTTCTTGTGGCGGACTTTTGGGCCGACGCTGTGAAGGTTTGTTGTCGACACGGCAAGAAGAAGAATTAGTTTGTCCAACCCATAAAAATAACGCTTAAAAAAAATGATAACTATTGTTCATGTATCAGCATGAGTTTCAACACAGACTGTCTGCAGCACGTATGTATTGTGACCCTATGGGGTAAGATGTTCATGCCTATGTATGTATAGGTATTAGAGGGAGGTACATAATAAAAGCGACTAATGTCAGTTTTCACCATGAATCCCTAATTTTTAAGTGACCCATATGAAATTCGTCTACGAAAATCGTTTGACTAAAGTGATACTTAGATTGATGGTAAAAACGGGCATCAAACAATTGAAAAAAGTGATGTATTTGAGACAAGAACATGGAAAAACTTCGAGGTAACAGAAAACAGGAACATTCTCAGATTCTGACTGATAAAATGACTAGGTTAAGTTTTATTTAGCATTTAGGACGCAGCGTGGGACGTCCACCCAAAAGGTGGAACGACGACATTGTAAGTAGCAGGAAGGCGCAGGCCGCTACTACCTGGGCAACATGGAAAGCATTGGGGGAGGCCTATGTTCAGGAGTGGACGACCTATGGCTGAGATGATGATGATGAAGCTTTATTTATACAACAGCAAGATTTGTTAAAATTGATTGCCCTTGTATAGATCGTTTCATCCACGAAGACGCGCCCCACCACTTTTTGGTCGAAGGAAGTGCGGGGTGCGGGGAGTGCGATCTATAAATGACTTAAGTAAGAGTATGCGCACACCGTTGATTTTTAGTTGGCCGATAGTTGAGCCCGATTTTAAATTGTATGAAGAATCGGCCAAATCGAATCGGCGTAGTGTGCGCACTCCCATACATGCCCATACTGATCAAGTGCCCGACTAAACTATCGGCCGACGAAAAATCAACGGTGTGCGCCTACTCTAACACTCACATCCTGGCAGTTGTAGGACACGGCATTGCAGACGCTGATGATGGAGTAGTTCTGCGGTCGGTTGAGTAGCAGCACCGCCAGCTGCCGCTCCGACGTCCAGCCCGTCCAGCGCACGTACCATGCTGTGGATATGGAGGTTCATCATCAAAAAATCATCATCAAAGAGGTTAAAAATCATCATTAAGAAGGTTACAGGAAACATAATTAGTCTTACTATTTATTTTATATATTTTATTTGTATTTATATTTTATATAATACTAGCTGACCCGGCGAACTTTGTTCCGCCTTAATGTCAATAAATAAGCAGACGTTTTTTTATTTCGAACGGGATAAAAAGTATCCTATGTTCTTCTCCTGGCTCTAAACTACCTCCCTGACAATTTTCAGCTAAATCGGTTCAGCCGTTCTTGAGTTATAAGTGGAGTAACTAACACGACTTTCTTTTATATAATCCCAACTAATATTATAAATGCGAAAGTAACTCTGTCTGTCTGTCTGTCTGTCTGTCTGTCTGTCTGTCTGTCTGTCTGTCTGTCTGTCTGTTACGCTTTCCCGCTTAAACCTCGCAACCGATTTTGATGAAATTTGGCATAGAGATTGTACGGGCGGGATGCAGTGGTTGTAAGGTACCGCTCCCGTTCCCGGGATATGCGGTCAGGAAGGGAACTAACTCCCTAGTGAGCCTAGAGTCCCTATTCCCTAAGACACTAAGTCCCTAGAGCCCTAGCCCTGCCTAACAATAGATACATAGACATAATAAGGGTTTGATAGGAAGGAAGCTGTGCCCAGGTCGCCCAGGGCAGCAGCGTTAGGACGGCAGGTAGGCGGCGGGGACCCGCTGCCAGCCCGGCAGACTCACCGGACTGATCATAGCGACGGCTAAGGGTGTCTTGGCCGCAGCGGGGGGAAATGAGACACAACGACGGACGGTTGATATCTGTTTTATTGTTATAATGCTATTGGTATTTATACATAATTTATTGATTGTACACATTTATAAGTATTTGCTAGTGTACCGTCGGTGTAGAGTGCCGACGGTGCACGCTGAGGGTTCATGGGTCGCCCGGCGGTCAATGCTGACGGTGCAGCAGGATGTACGATCGTGCTCGTACATATTGGCATCTCGCAGAAGAAGAAGGCGCGGAGGATGCTGCACGTGGTTGCCCTGCTGCCCGATGACCGTAGACCTTGGCTGCCGGTGACTCCATGAGCGGCTGATGGCCCAGGTGGTGGACCTCTGGTTGGCTGTCCACTTGGTGTCCACCTGGCTGGTTGATTGACCAGGCAGCTCGCGGGCCTGGCTCCTGGTGAGGCCAGGATGCTCGCGGGCCTGGCGCTGGTGTGGCCTGGTACTAGAGTGGCCGTGACTGCTGGTGTGGCCTGGCAGGTGTTGCCAAGGCCGCTGGTATGGCCTGGCTGCTGTTGTAGTCAGGCTGCTGGTGTGGCCTGGCAGGTGTTGCCAAGGCCGTTGATGTGGCCTGGCGCTGACGTGTGGCCAAGGCTGCTGGTATGGCCTGGCTGCTGTTGTGGGGCTGCATGACCTGGCTGCTGTGTGTCCAGGCTGCAGACTCCTGGCTGCTTGTTGTCCAGGGTGCAGTGTCCTGGCTGCAGCCCTCTTGGTTGTCCAGGCTTCTTGATGTTCTGGCTGTCGTCCTCTTGATAGTTTGCCTTCTTGGCTTGTGTCGAACTGAACAGCACATGCGACTTCTCGGTTACCGGTGAGACCCACTTCCGGGAGGCCGGTAACTGATCCGCTGCTGTCAGATTGCTGATGTTCTGATGATGCTGGTCAGTGCTGCAGTGGAGATGCTGATGCTCCGACTGTAGCTGCTGCTGTTGTGGGGCTGCATGACCTGGCTGCTGTGTGTCCAGGCTGCAGTCTCCTGGCTGCTTGTTGTCCAGGGTGCAGTGTCCTGGCTGCTTGGTGTCCAGGAGAGATAGTTTGAGTCCCGGGAAAGAACATAGGATAGTTTTTATCCCGGTTTTTGAAACAGGGACGCGCGCGATAAAGTTTTTCTGTGACAGACAAAATTCCACGCGGGCGAAGCCGCGGGCGGAAAGCTAGTAGATTATAAATGCGAAAGTTTGTATGGATGTCTGGATGTGAACATGTTTGTTACTCTTTCACGCAAAAACTGCTGAACGGATTTTGATGAAGCTTTACAGTATTATTGTTTATAACCCAGAATAACATATAGGCTATATTTTATGACGATCTGTAACAAACTAAATTTCACGCGGGTGAAGCCGCGGGCCTACCTAATTTTTCTACCTTATTAGGTACTAGCTTTTGCCCGCGGCTTCACCCGCGTGATCAATCGCTTAAAAAGTCCACATTAAAATAATGATTGAAACGATCCAGCGATTTTTTGACTAAAATTATAGAGTTTATTTTCATAGCTAGGAAGACAAACAAGGATTGATGTTTTTTATCATGACTTAAGGTCCTATGTCCCCTAGATAAAAAAAAAAAAAAAAAAANTTTATGGCATCTGACATACAATTGCAAATTGGGGAAAAAGCTCAAATCATATAAGGATCGCCTAAAATATTTCAGAATGGCATCGCTGGAGAGGCGCAGAGAAATGTTGGATTTAGTTTTTCTAAAAAAACTTACAGCTGGTATATTTAATTGTCCCGATTTACTTAGCAAAGTTTATTACCATGTGCCACGTGTTCTACCCAGACAATTAAATAAAAAACTATTCAGCTTGCCGCAAGGCCGCACCAATTTGAGAAAGCACAGTTCGCTGTCCAGGATGTATACATTGTATATGGACCATGAAACCGACATAGATTTAAACTTTACCTCAATACCTGGTATAAAGAAGGCCATACTTGCTTTGGAATAATCATGCATTTAAAATTAACTGAATTTATTTAAATACTGTATTGGTTATCTCTATTGTAACAAACATTTGCGAATATGTTCGATGCATCTGTATTATTGTATACTGTAGCAATATAAAATTGCACTGTAGTGTAGGTAGCATTTGCATTTTTTATTTTTTGCGTAGTTACACATTATTTAGCAGATGCAGTGCTTTTCTTTAAGTGATGGGGAACTTATACATGTAATTTTGGTTATGTATTTTAAATTTTAATAGTGTACTTATTGTTGAAAAGCCAAAATAAATAAATAAATAAATAAATAAATAGATAGGGCAGAGGGCGTCCATAACATTCCTCCATCGCGTTCGGTCTTGAGCTTCGCGTTTGATCTCGCTCCAAAGTCTTGCCGATCTTCTTCGCCTCGTCTGCCACAGTGCGCCGCCAAGTTTGCTTGGGGCAACCACGTTTCCGTTTGTTTTTTATCAAAGGAAAATTATTTCTTCTGAGTTCGCTACGGATTCAAGCTATTAATAACTTCCTGATTACTTAAGAGGGTGTAACTTGGTGTACTTACTTTTATCAACTTGTGACGTGAACTGTATGGCGTGCGGGAAGAGGAACTTTGGCGTCTTCAGGCTGACGACGTACACCGTCACCACTGGGTTGTTTGTGTTCACCTGGAGTTAAAAAAAGTCTATAAATTATCATCAACAGTACAAGTTAGTCGAATGCTGTCAAGCTTTCAGGCGTCAGAATTAATTTTGGGTGGCCGTTGGGGCAGAAAGGATCTCGAGTGGCTACCATGGATCGGAAAACGTAGTGTAGGCAAGCCTCCCACTTGGAGGATCGACGATCTGTCTGGTGAAGGCCGCAGGAAGCTCTTGGATATGGGCAACACAGGACCGGTCGTTGTGGAAAGAGTTTGTCCAGTAGTGGACTTCTTTTTATTGAAACTCAATAGACCAACGATTTATTGATGGTCGTGGGAAGCGCCTGGATGCGGGCAGCTCAAGAATTATCATTGTAGAAATAGGTTAGCGTACCATCCCTTATTGTTGACATTCCCCCAGCTCGCACTAAGCGTTTCGATTACTCTTTTATAATGCGAACAGCTAGGGACTGGAATTCGTTGCCTGCTGCTGTCTTTCCCGAAAACTATAACCCGGGCCTCTTCAAGGCGAGAGTGAAAAGGCACTTACAGGGCAGATATGTACCATCCTAGACTGCATCCCACTTAACATCAGGTGCGATTGTGGTCAAATACCTGCCTTGTTAAGTATTAAAAAAAATCCTTGGGAACGGCCCTTGTCCAGCAGTGGACGTTTTTATAAACCAAAAACCTGAAGTTCTCACCTTAGGGTACCTCAGCGTCCGTATCGACGGGTACGCCGGTGGCTCGGGCTGGTCGAATCCGTACCAGGGGTACTTGTACTGCTGCACCAGAGAATCGTTGTAGGACGCATACAGCAGCGTCTGTCCATCTGGACTGAACCAGAGCGCGCGGTCCAGCCGCAGCACTTCTGTCTCGTAGAGAAAGTCGGGCACGCCGTTGAAGATTACGCCTGGGACACCTGGAAAAACAAATAATTAACATTAGGAGTTTTAGAGAGTAACGTACATCAAGATATACGTTTACCAAGGTAAAAGTCACCATGTTTCAGTGTAGGGGGTATGATTTTATTCCTACCACTGCTTTGTGTCAATAATGTGAGCCAGCCATCAGCTACCTCCAGAAAGCTATTTAAAGAAGTCGATAAAAATAAATAAAAATAAAATAAAATATGTTTATTTCGAACCAGGGTCCATATAGTGTTAGTAACAATGTAAGCTTAAAACTATGTTAGTATTAATTAATTAGATAATAGAAATTATTATTAATTATTATTATTAAAGACATTATTATTATTATTATTAAAATTATTATAATTAATTTTAGTGTCTTTGACGAGATGGACGCGAGTCCAGTGTTGCATAATAGCACTGTCTGCGTCCAGTCTCACAAAAGCCGTTTACAAAGAAGGTAGGATGAGCCATCATTTAACGATTATAAATGTTGCTAAACCACCATTCTAACACTAAAAAAAGAGTCATTTTCGCAATGTAGCCAGCGAGTGAGCAAAATGAGTGCGCGAGCTCACGTTTTAAAAGAGCGCGTTCGTTACACATGAAAACTAGGTCTAAGGTCTAGCTTAATTTTACATTAATCTGGGAACGGTCCTACATAATGTACGCAGGCCTTGCTTGCCTTACTGGACCGACGATCTGGCAGAGATCGCGGGGAGCACGGGAGGAAACGTTGCAGGTCCAGTGAAAAATCCTCGAGTCTTTGCCCAGATGCAAACGTGTTTTGGTTGAAAGAACGAATGAACAGTCCTCACCAGTATTACTGATCCGGCAGACCAGTGTCTTCAAGACGCGCGGCTTGTAATAGACATCGTTGTGAGCCGGTTGGCGGCCACTCCGCTTAATGCAATCCTTGGGAGAGGCCTTTGTCTAGCGTGGTCTTTTGATTAAAAGAACTAGTATAATTCTCACCAGTATTAGTGATCCGGCAGACCAGGGTTTTCAAGACACGCGGCTTGTAGTAGATGTCGTTGTCGTGGACGAACACCAGACTGGAACTCGTTGGCGACCACTCCGTGCACTGCAATCCTTAGGCCTTTGTCTATGGTTGAAAAAACAAATGAAGAGTTCTCACCAGTATTAGTGATCCGGCAGAACAGGGTCTTCAAGACGCGCGGCTTGTAGTAGATGTCGTTGTCTTGGGCGAAGACCAGACTGGAACCCGTTGGAGACCACTCTGCGTACCTACTGCAATCCTTGGGTGAGACCTTTGTCTATCGTGGTCTTTTTGTTGAAAGAACGAATGAACTAGGTACTCATCAGTGTTAGTGATCCGGCAGACCAGCGTCTTCAAGACGCGCGGCTTGTTTTAATATACATCGTTGTGAGCCGGTTGGCGGCCACTCCGCTTACTGCAATCCTTGGGAGAGGCCTTTGTCTAGCGTTGTCTTCTGATTCAAAAGAACGAAAGGAACAGTTCTCACCAGTATTAGTGATCCGGCAGACCAGAGTCTTCAAGACGCGCGGCTTGTAGTAGATGTCGTTGTCGTGGACGAACACCAGGCTGGAGCCCGTTGGAGACCACTCGGCGTACTGCAGCAGCGGCGCCGACCGGTCGTCCTCCACCGGCGATATGGGGATCTTATTCCTGTGGAATAATGATTATCAAATCAGATGTAATCAAAAATATTTGGTTTCTGACAAGTATTTTGGCTCTTATGAACGTCAAAAAAAATTTAAAAAAAAATTACCCGTAATCGATTATCGTTACTTTGAAATTAAGTGCGATCTTCAGTAATCTAAAATATAACTCAAAGGAGACTGACTGACTAACATAAAGCCATAGTGGGATCTATCAACGCACAGCCCATACCACTGAACGGATCGGGCTGAAATTTGGCATGCAGGTAGGTAGATGTTATGACGTAGGCTAGGCATCCGCTAAAAAAGGATTTTACGAAACTTCACCCCTAAGGGGGTAAAACGGGATCCACGCGTACGAAGTCGCAGGCGGCCTCTAGTTACCTATAAAACATTTATGAACCTAAATGTAATGAACCATCGCACAGCACAACATCGATCTCGTGATCAATTGAACTTCTAATCTTTCTTCGTAGTCTGCCGGTAGCCGGAAGGAGATTTTTATAAAGATGACGTAGGTACCTGTTGATGACGTCATAGACGTGGTATCTGGCCAGCCGCGCGTGCCTCCAGCCCGGCCGCACGTCGGAGATCAGCAGCACGAACTTCAGGTCCGCAGACACCTTGAAGTCTACCGCGTTCAGCTCCCTCTGTGGACAAAGAACATTCATTTCAGCCAAATGACGTCCACTGCTGGACAAAGTTCTCCCCTCTTCCCCTCCAAGGATTTCCACAACGACTGCCCGCATCCATCACCAGATCGTCGGTCCACCTAGTGGCCTGCCCACGCTAAGGTCTTCCAGCCCGTGGTCGCCACTCGAGAAAAGAACATTGGTCAGTTTAAACTTAAAATGCTCAGGTTTTAGCGACCGAAGGCATCGCTATTTGTCATGGCCTTCGTCACCGTGGGCCACGGCATATTATGCTGAGTGAGGTCTCGTTGCAGTGGGCATCGTTATTGCTAGTAGGGGGCATTGTTCAGTTCACCCTTATTTTTTTTTTATAATTATTCATATGTAGTTAGGTACCTTTTTATGTTTGTGTGATGTCCATTGTAATAATGTTTCTTTCTTTCACTTTTACATTCTTGAGTATAACCATCTCCCCGCACTTGGTCTAATTTCAAGAGTTTAATGAAAGAAATAACGCAAAGTTACAATTTAATATTCGCGTACGGCGGTAGGAATACCGGGCGAGAGAGTGAGGGACGTGCGCTCCGCGTCGCGTATAGTTTCGAACTAGTCGTGAGATGCGCCGCCGGCGCGCGTTCGTCACGGCTCGCCGAGCATGGCCGAGCGTTCGCGAACAATGGGCGATCGCAGTGACGTTGTAACCGTCGCCCGCAGGCGGCGGCTACACTGCGTTGCGATCAGTACATTATAACTCAATGGTTGCGATAGACACATTTACGCGATAGATATGCGAAGCTATGATTTGACTTGTTAGTAAATATTTGCATGCTTATAAAATTATATAAATAGTAATAATATCTTATGGTCGTTTCACCAATTAACGAGTTTAACTAACATCAGCTGTTATTGTCATGAATGACAACGAATTGTTCACTGTCACCTACTGTCACAATGAAGTAGGATTTATTTAGAATTAGAATTATTTATTTTTTAATGTGGAAAGATGTACTAAGATTACACAATACAGAATTGATGTAAGTCTTTAGAAACTAAGAATAAGAATTACTTTATTGCGGTAATACATTTACCCATGATTTTTATAAAAAAAATGCTTGTATTATTACTTCATTACATTTGGGTCAATTTCCCAAACACATTTTTTGAGCGGCGTAGCTGAAAATCATATGTTTTTTATGACATAGAACTTTGATTTTTTTTTACACGAAAATATACAGAGGTTCCATTTTGAGGACAACATTATTAATGAGTATTTTCTTTTACAAATTCGACAAAAAATAATTGAACTAAGCGTTTCTAATTTTGGTGCAGTGTCCACATCCTTAATTTCTTACAATATGTATTTTTTTAGCTGAAGATCAAAACAGAACTTAGGGAAAAAGTATATTTTTGGATTATACAATCTATCTATTATCTAAGATTACCAAATTAAGCAAGTTTCCCAAATAACTGTGATTAAGTCACGTCCTTAAGTTTTGTCCGCGAAAAATTTATGATTTTGGTGTCAATAATGAAATAGCTCGTCAGTTTCTTTAAAGATCAAACAGGATTTAAACACTCCCATCATTCGTTAGGTTTAGTACCGCCCCCGCGAGCAGTGACGGCAGACGGGTGCAAGACCTCTGCGTCTTCCCGCCAAAAACGTAAATGTGTTGTTTTTTTTTAAACGGACAACAATTCTGCAATTTTGGTGTCTTTTTGTATAAGATTTCTAAGCTATTCTTTTTAGTTGAATTCCTCGTATAATGTAAAGGAACTGTTTTCATACCATGTGTTAAAATGTTATTGTTATATTTAAAACAGATTTCATATAATTTAGCTTTTTCAACGAGAATCTAATTTTGGTGAGTCAATTTTGGTGTTTTTGGTGGTGCACCAAAGCATTTTTAACCGACTTAACTCCGTCAATTGTGAACCGATTTTCAAAATTCTTTTTTTGTTCTATAGGGTACACTTATGTGGTGGTCCCATTGTCACCAAGTCAGGATCTGATGATGGGATCCTAGGGAAATCGAGAGTAAACCTCAAATTTTGTAGGAATGCAATACGTTTTCTAAAGTTATTCAAGTAGTCATCATCTAATGTTGATGAGGTGATGATGGAAGGTAAAACTCCTTAACGCTTAGGAGTTGGAGGATAATTCTTTAAATATTTTAGGTAGGTATGTACATACAGTTGTATTATTTCAGGTATTTAAGATGAGCTGATGATGAAAGGTCAAACAACATAAGTTAGGAGTTAGATGATACTCAATACTCATTTGTTGATACATACATTGACACATGATACATTGATACTTTTTAGTTGCCGATATTTAAAGTAGGGAGCCTGTATTTTGCTAGGAAGATTATTTACACTTGGATTGTGATTAAGACTATAATTTTCCATTACAAAATGGAAAATTATAGTCTTAATCACATTAAACATAGGTACTGTCCCTCTTCAGTGACAATAACAAGGACTAATCAACTAAAAAGCATGAAAAAAAATAATTTTAACAAAAAAATTAAAACCGACGCCAACAATCACTTAAAAGTAGAAAATAAGTACGTCGTTATTTATTTATTAGGACAATATACCATGATTAATATTTTTGGAGTCGGTGCTGGTAAATTTAAAACCATTTCTTGAGCTTGGCACTAAGATATGACCGACTGACAGCATATTTTCTAATTTTGGTGCTTTAATATAAATTTTGGTGTTCTCTTAATTTTGGTGTAAGGAAAATCTAAAAAACTACTGGACAAAATTTAATGTCTTAATCATTTTAGAAACAGTATAAGTTTCCAATAAATTTGATCTATAATTAAAGAATAAAAATACACAAATAACAATTTCCACCAAAATTAGGCAAAAATATGCACTTGTTGAAATTTACCCATTTCTAATTCAATATATTTACTAATTAAAATAGCGCGATATTGTACTACACTGTGCCATCATCCTTATGTGCATAATGCTGCGTAGGTAGTCGCAAAGACGCTCGGCGCGCAGCAAACATTGAGTGTTTGGATGTTTTTTGAACATACCCGCACATAAAATGTTAATTGGTAATATTGTATTTATTTGTCTTTGCATTTTATTATAAGTGGATTTTGTGAATTGTTTTGGGTAAATAAATGTCTTTAATCGTAAATTACCACCACTGACAATGTGAACCGACGACCTGATAAAGGTAGCGGGAAGGCGCTGGATGCAGGCCGCCGCCCGCCACCAACCGGCCATTGTGGAAATCATTGGGGAAGGCCTATGTTCAGCAGTGGACGTCCTGTGGCTGAAATGATGATGATGATGATGAAGTAAATTGCACTAAGCTGTCATTGTATTGTCTTCCGCAGGATCATAACCCGCAACCAAAGCTAGCGGTTATACTGATATGCCATATTATAGACAATGTCACCAACGTCACCAAATAAGCTTTGTTATTATTGTAATCAATATCTACGAACATTTTAATGAGCAACATCATGAGCGCCAAAGTATCGCAAACTTTGGTCGTTGCTATAGAAGCGTTCGATAGCTTTCATTGTCTCAAAAGTTGAATATCCACGGTTCCAATTTCACTGGCAGCTAGTCATTATGTTTGACTGAACGCTGTATCCTATACCTCACCAATTTCGTACAGGGAAAAACGAAAAGTAAAAGAATAGCGGTTGATTTCGTTAGGTGTACCGCAAGGCTCGATATTGGGGCCCGAATTTAATAACATCGGAAAACAGGAGGCTCATGAATCAGCGGGTTTTGTTTAAATTTTCCACATTTTGGGCCGACGTGCGTGTGCGTTATATTGCTTCACGCACGAGTGGGGTTACGAGTACAGCTCAGATAAAACAGTAAGCCAATGATAAAAGCACTTTAAAGTTACAGGTAAAGAAGTCAGTTTAAGTATTACCAGGCCAAATAGGCAGGCTAGGCAAAATACGTGTAGGTACGCGTGTGATGCGCTAGATGGCGATACAATAGATTCTTTTATCTTGTGTTGTTCGCGGAGAAACTTTCTGTACGTAGTAATTACTTCTGTGGTGTTAAGTAAATTAAAACCCGCTACGAAAGTAGGAAGTCATGGTCATCGCTTTTGTTAGTCAAAGAATGGGGTACGGAGTCTATCACACACAAGTATCATTACTAACATTAATAAATAACAGTAAATTAATAAGTTCGTTTCAGCCAAATAAATTAATAAGTTACAAACAGATAAACACCAATATTATGTTTATTAAAAATGTACCTACTGTTACTTTTTCCCTGTGACACTGAAACTTCCTCTCCTGTTAAGCTGATACGATGAACAAATTTAAACGCAAGAATTTCGTAAAATCCAATTTATGCTGGCGAATAACATTAATAATTGTATTAGGAACAGATTTTGTAGACTTGGAATCCTTCCATCTTAAACAAAGGCAGGTTTAACCAAACAGGGACAAAGTCAATAAATATTCATGATCTGATAATACGTTTTATAAACAGCTTATCTTAAAATATTTGTTGCCACGGTTTGCAAATAATGCTGATTTATTTATTGTCTTAATTAATTGGGAGGAACAATTATTATTAATGATTCTTAGGATTAGAATCACTATAAATTAGGTACGCGGAGAGTAAATAATATGCCTACTGGAAAATTCCAGGCCAGATGTGACGCAATATTAAAGACAGCTGATTAATATGTAGGTACATTAAGGGTGGGTTGCACCATCTTACTCTAACTGTGACAAATGTCAAAAATCTGTCATCTACTATATAAAAATAAGTCGGGTTTTCCTCCCTGACGCTATAACTCCAGAACGCACGAACCGATTTCCACGGTTTTGCATTCGTTGGAAAGGTCTCGGGCTCTGTGAGGTTTATAGCAAAGAAAATTCGGGAAAAGGGGGTAAAACAGGATCCACGCGTACGAAGTCGCGGGCGGCCGCTAGTACTCCATACAAAAAACACCGGTTATCGTAATAGTTACCGTTAAAGTTAGGTGGTGCAACTCAGCCTTAGATTAGCACAAAAAA